GAAATGACTACCCTTTTTTCTTAAAAAGGGGTAATCGGTTCAGAACGTTAGTTAGTTACGCGCTGGAGTTAGAACAAAGAGGAACTTTGAATAAACGGCTTGCGTATCGATTCACTGTTTTTATTATTGCCACCTGATTTCTTATATTATATTATCATTAGATACTGCTAAAAACAATATTTACAGTGTTAATTTTAGTTATTTCATTTTGTCGGAAGTAGGTACCTCTAATTTCGTATATTACATTTTTTTTCTCACTAATGTGATAGTAATGGCGTTTTTTTACTTAAGTATCTACTTTCCTTTCGCATTTGCAATAATAATACTATATCTTCGGTACTGTTATCCCAGTTTGGGTAGTCAAAGACACCGTCGTCACACCTTCGTCGTTATAGCCAATACATCACTTTACGAGTTAAAATCTCGTCAAAATCGGTCCGTTTCAGAATTTGAAAAAACAAACAGACAGAGAGACAGACATTTTTTTATATAATATATATTGTGCCGTATATACTTTCACATGCATTTAGTGAAAAACTGTTGATTTGAATTTACAGATACTGTAATTTTACTTATTTGTATAGATTACAGTCCATTTATATATAAGAATTTGTTACAAAACTCTACTCTAACTCTACTCACTCTCTCTGTATATTTCAAAACAAACTTGATTTTTGTTGCAACAAAATATCAAATTAAATTTACAGGGAAAGTAATGCGCGCAGACTAGCAAGCTTATAAACAACTCTGTGTATAAAGCCTTTGTTCAACAACCACGCCTAGTTCAACATCTCCGAATGATGGGGTTGTAGACAGGACAATAAGGGTAACACAGCGTCCTAGACAGCCCATAATCGATATTCCATTCAACGATTCAGATTGTATCGAAATCGACAAGCATTGTGACTTTGTGACTTCAGTCATACGCTGAAATGTGACAATGGGTTTATAATAGGCAGTGCTACAGAAATATATGGAATAGTCTATATTTTTAGATTCATATTCATATTCTAAGGACGGTGTTACATATGAATGTGGATGGTTATAAGGTAGAGGAAGACCGAAAAGGAGATGGATGGACTGTGTGAAAGATGATATGGTGAGAAAGGGAGTAAATAACGGGATGACTGCGAACAGAGATGAATGGAAGAGAAAATCATATTACGCCGACCCCATATAAAAGGGATAAGGAAGAAGCAGATGATGAGTCTATATATTTACATATATATAATAATATATATATTTAAATATTTCTTATATATTTTTAGAGAAATATAAATTTTAAAAGGTAAAGATTATCTTAACTCATATATATTATAAAGGCACATTTTAATCGATAAAAATGTAAAATTACAGGATATATCAATATATGAGTGGTATCGTGGGAGCCACATGATAAATTATTGTCAGTAGTGCTATTCATGTATGTATGTAGGCGATGGTTACCTCTTACCATCAGGTGAGATATCAGCTTGTTCGTCATTCTAATTAATAATAATAATATCCTTGGCTAACATCCGGAACATTAGAAACAATCATACTCATAAAACCATATGTTTGTACCGTACTGGGAATCGAACCTGTCACTATAAGAAGTAAAGCGGTGTGCTAAACTGCTAGTCAACCTAGGCCGTCAAAATAATTACTTATAAAAATATATATTATTCCTAAATTATTATCTACACATGCCATTTAAATTATCATTAGTCCATAAATTTGTAAGCACCATTCGTAACGAACAATTTTGACACCAATAAAGTGGATATATAATTGTAGGGTGGTGACAGCGACAAACATTTTCATTAATAACGAGTCTACACAGAATCCTCTTATAAACATAACAACTGCATTCATATTGTATAACGAAGCATAACTCATTCGATTAAAGGGAATTCTGCCGTATGCCTGCGGGTATTTAATTGTATACGCCAGGACACGACATCCTGACCAATTATTAAAGACACCCCAACGCGGATGTATTTGTAATACTGCTATAGGAACGGTAAAAGAGTAGAGAGGTCTTGTTACAGTGTTCGCATAACATTCATCTACACCGAGCTTTGATCTATGTATCACGAAGAAAGTGTTAATCCCATTTTGATGCCACTAATTACCACATTAATTGACCGTGAGGTATTGTCTTCTGCATTATACGATGACTGTTATAGAGCATGACTTATTTCGAAATATGTCTATTACACTAAGAGACGAATAAATAAGTTAATACTGAGATATAAGACCGTTTATGGAATTAAAGCTGTGGTCAAAGTACCAGTAATATATTTGTTGTATGACTTAAAGTAGATTAGAGTCGTCACCAACTTAAGTCAATGTGTTGAATCAGACGGGTCGTTTTGGAAGCTTATGGTTAGATATTTACATAATCAAAATAATATGGTCACTTATGTCAAAATATATCCACATATTTGTATTATATATACTTAGTACTCCTAAGTTTATATAATATAAATATGTGGATATAGACTAGACTTTATACGAGGAATGGGCACATATGTCTCACGTATTAGAGCTATCACAGGCGTCTCAGTGGACCTATTCATGTATATAGACTTTTGTAATAAATAGCGACTTAATGACCAGAAATGATTAATTATAAGAATTTACACAAGACTATCTAGTCCCATGCAAAGCAGAGTTTGTGTTGTTGGTACTAAACAACTGATGCGAATGCTTATATACATATATTTTTGTAAATATATACAGAGAAAATACCCACAGAAATACATGCAGTCATATTCATAAATACAAAGGCATGTCCGTACTTATGTCAGTCCTTACCCGAACTCGCGACTAGAAGAAGTATGATGTGCTAAACTGCTAAAGCACCGAGCCGGTAAATTAACAAACCGTAATAAGTGTGATAATATTAAACAATTAAGCCATCGTAGTTTCGAGTCAACAATAAACACTTTATTGTAATATAAGAATATTAAGATAATTTATCGGTTGCTTTAGTCCGAAGAAATTTTATTCCTATTATTCTAAGTTATTCAATTATAACACACATATAGTTATCTATATAAACTACAATTGGTAAACAAGGTCTTTAATTGTACCTACAAAACGTGACCATAAATTATCAAAATTGTATGTACTTAGAGTTATGCTCCTTTTTTTAAGTATTACCATAATTTGACCATAAATTGTTTGTATTAATAGGGTCGTGTACTCTGATGGTATATTTAGCTTGTTAAGAATATTTATGGTAAAACTACATATTGTGATAGGATAAAAAGAGAGAAGTTACGTATTCGGAAGAGTCCGATGTAGGAAGTAAACTATTTAGGTACAATTTTTTCTTCCATCTTCTGCGGGTTTCAATCTTCGCACCCTATTAATGGTTTTATTTATTTATAAATATATCTAAATTTATTACTATTATTTAATTCATGTTTACTGTTGTAGTCGTAATGTTTTTTACTTCCCTAATTGATGTCTAATTATTGTAGCAATCTGAAAAGATTTAGTCAAATAAATCCATTGAGCTGAATTTATGTAATATGTATATAATGTTTTATTTACGTTTTTAGCTATCTTTAGTCATTATGACGGCACGGTGCGAATTTTTGTATTTATCTGCCAGTTTAGTAGCATAAATATTAACATTAATTTAATATTTTAATATTTTTTTAATGTATAACCATTGGGAGATTCGTGTACCATTGTCTAATAATGCATTTTTTATTCGTAGCAACAAACAGAGAGCAAGCAATAGTTCTGACAATATTCACATAGCGTCGTCAGGCTTCGATGACCCCTGCTGGGCACTTGGCATTAACGACTAATAGCAGCATGTTAATCGACAGACGATCACTGTCGGCGATCGCGTTTAAAAAAAAAAGTAGAGCATCACACGATATAGAGATAAAATTCGTAATCCGTTCCACGTATTGAATATCGAAGTGTACAAGATCACTTGATTACCACAGTGAGGATTTTATTGGATCAAACTGTTTGTAATGTTTAGATGTCAAAAGGAAAATTGACTCCAAAACCGTTTTTGAAGTATTTTTTATTTCAAAAATGTGTTTTGGTCTGGGTCCTACAGAAGTCCAGATTGAAGTAGATAGCTAAAGGTTTTTGTTGAGTAATATGATGGGTAATTAATTTACTATGAGTTTTTAATTGGAGACATATTACTGTTATAGTTCAATCGTGCCAGGGAAGAGTGAAGTGAAGAAAGAGAATTATTAGTAACAAACGTTTCAAGTCGACCTGAACACCATCAGCATTATTTTCTGGTTCACCACAATGGGCTAATTAACCTAACATCATTATCATTTTATTATCGTCTATTAGTGCTTTACAAGCATATATTGTTAGCACATACTGGTGGACATATATATTTGTCTGTAAAAAGCCCCGCCAGCGTAAACCGCAGCCGGCGATTGGCGCTACCACCATTCCAGTCTCAAGTTTTAAAAGAATAACATTGGTATTGGTTAGTTTTAAAAGAATAACAGGTCTTGAACCCAATTAAAAACTTACATTTAAAATTATAGAATTTAATAATTAGGAATTTAAAAATATAACCTTAAATTAAAATCAATATTTCTGTAACTTATATTATCTACTTTTTTCAAGCAGTTTAATTTTATCTTTAATTAATCGTGGCGCCATCTATGACTGCATAGACAAACTACATTCATTGACTAACATAAAAGAATATCTACTTACCGGTAGATGTCACAAACAATTGAAATCATTATTCTTTTGTAATTATGTAAATCTTAATAAAGGGTAAAATCCCCAAGGTTTCTCAATACTGAAAATAATAGTACAAGTGATAGTAGTAGTATATAAATACAATAATGTTATTTATTGCTCCACCACATATCTTAAAATTGTAAAATATTCTTAATATTCTCAGTGATAATTTTTGTGTGGCTGTGAATTTGGCTTGACGATTTGTCAGATATGTCACTGTCACTTTTCATTTTGCTGTCAGTTATCTGCCAGTTTTGTTTTTTATTTTCCTATACTATATTTATTATTTATATAACTTTTTTTCGTATAATATATATAAATAAAAACTAAGTTGCATTGGTTTTATTATAATTTAACAATTAATCAATAATGCAATTGTTCTATTAAGTAAACAATATGTTTAAGGAATTATAAAACATTTATATTAAAATGTACAGCTGACTGGTACAACAAGAGGTTACAAATTATGAATGTGATAAGATTGCGATTAACAAGAAATCCCTCTAACCATTTTTACCATTTAAATAATCTTGTAAAAAGAAGTAATTTCCCGCTGAATATCGCGTACTATTATGCTACTACTTTTGACGCGATAGATTTATTGACTAATGATTTGATACAAAGATACAGAGGTGTAAATAGAAATAATAAATTTGACTTTAAAAACACAAGGACAAGGGGATTCGCAGAAGCAGAATCGCCTTACCAAGATGTATCAAGTATGACTACAGAGCATTTGGATAAAGTGTTTTTACAACTTTTGTCAAAAAACAAAGACAAAACTATAGAAATCTTGGTGTTAGATTGTCTAAATAATCGTAAGTTTATTAGTGGTCCCACTTTAAAAAAACTTTATAAACATTACAGTTTTGCAGGAAAACCAGATACTGTTCTAATACTTCAAAAATACAGTAGCAAAGTGGACCCTTATATAAACAAACGTAATGGAAATTTTCAGCATTATTTAGCTAAAGCACAATGTTTCAAAGGAAACTCAGAAAAAGGTCTAGCAATTTTGACGGAGGCATACAGAAATAATGAATATCTGAGATCTTTCTATAGGTCTATATTTAAAGAACTAATCCATGATTCAGTTCAGAACAGATCGGAGGCTTCGTTAATGATATTTAAGAAATATGTCTTAGAATTTAGTGAGAAATGGGAAGACCATTACCCATTAGTATGTTTTTGGCATATTTGCTGGTCCAGCACATGGTTTTCAGATCAAATGTTATCAAATGAGCTGTTGGAATGTTCTGAAATGCTTCAGAAAATTATTAAGGATAAGTAAGTTTGCATTTATTCTTTCCAATATTATAAATAACAGTTTGTAATTTCTGTTTGTTTGTTTTAAGTACATTCATGGCACTGAAAATTGCCATATTTGTATTTATTCTGAGTCCATAAACAGATACTGTAAAACTGAGTAATATTTGTAATAAATCATTCACTTTTATTATTCTCATTAGATGGGATGAATATTGTTGTTTATATAAACCTCATTATTAAGTGTATGTGAACTGTTATAAAAAGAAAACTATATAAATCCACTAAAAATATAGATTTTATTATATCCAATATTAGGTTTAAATAAAAACATAGATTTCTAAATTATTGATGTCAATATGACTTACTAACTTTTGTATTACTTAATACATTACAGGGCTACTGCTTTCACTATAAGCATTTTAAGGGATGAATATAATGAAGATGCTGTGATGCGACTATTGCAAAGTCTACTCAAATATAAAATGATGTCTGAATATGTTAAGGTTTTACAAATTTTATTCAATTACAAATGTAAGTATACAATAATATATTTATTTACTATTAGTTAATCAGCTCATCATCAAGCCGATGAATGAACATCATAACAGATGAATAAATACTAGGTCAATCACTATTATTTATATGTCTTCATCCCTATGATTTGTTTATGTAACTACAATGGCAAACAAACTGAATACTCTTGTGATGGTAAGTGGTAACAATAGCCTACACATTTGATTACTAAGTACTACAGACATCGCATTATCATATGTCGCGGATGATACTACCAATATGTGGCTGTTTTAAAATGCCATGCCAATACAAGCATGTAAAAGCATGCACAAGGATTTAAAATCTATATTGAGTTATATGTATATAATATCTAAAAATAATAATGACCGTTCTGATTGTTTTTACTGTAAATTAAAGGAATTGGTTTAAAATATTAATTCTTAGATTATTGAAACAGTTTAAAGGTTAGAAACTACGGTGAGGATAATATATGTATATATGGGTCTTTGACTATGAATTTTTTGAGACTTAATGAGATGAACATCTTGGCATTTTATGGATTCACCATGTTGGTGCCGGTCCATTGTGTGACAAAGAGGGAAATTTCGAGCAGTTCCTGGGACGTGTGAACTGCTTGTAAATACACAGAAATTTATTAAAGTCAGAAGTCCCTACAAGTTAGCAGCACGTTAAATTGAGATGTTTAACATTTATTCTATGTTGTTAAAGGTGTATGGTTTGTTGGTTGCCGTAAATAAATAAAATAGAAATATATTATTAACATGTATTTAAAATTTGTACTCGAATATTAAACTAGTAAATAAATAATTATTCGAAAACAGTAAATATTTAGATACGTATTTTTTAATTCGTAAACAATGGAAACTACAATATTAAGTGTTATTGTAATGCAGACAATAACGTTGTACTCTCTCGCACTGAGAATAGTATAATATCAATATTAGAATCGTGGAAAAGTAAATAAATTATGTTAACAAATAATTATTTTGATTAAGTACACTTAATATTATTATTTGCACTAATATTATACAGAGGAAATTGTGTATTTATGTGTAAGCCTAGGGTAATCCGAAACCATATTTGAAAAAGTATTTCATTCTACACCGAAACAAACCATATTTATTATATGTGTATTTTTCCAATCCCACAGAGACTGGTTAGTTATTATATGTAGATAATAAAAATTATAATTATAAATATGGCTATTAAAGGAACGTCAAAATTGGGACCACCATTTTACCGATAAGCAGTTCAAATATTGCCCCATAATTAAAAACGCGCTACCCAAAAATTATTTGAAACCAACGACTCTATACAGATAGCTCATACGCTGTATTGATAAGAGTGGTCTCCTCTTAATAGACAAAAAGATGAGTAAAATACAAAAGTAAAACTAAAAATATAAATGAATAAATGAGGTTGTTTATATATTTATTACACCTTCCAGTCTTAACGCCTTAATCAATTAACATGAAAGATTTACATTTAAGCTGAAAAAGTCCCTATAATGTATTCAGATACCTAAGATATAGAAAAAAAGTAATTTAATTATTGTTGTACTCTGTGCTTATATTATTCTTTGATGTTGTCGTCGTCCAACTTTATTATTTACTGAAAATTCAATTGGCCATCCTCACACGCAAGACACTATGTATGCTATGTTTTCTATCGGTCACTCATGTTCATGCGGAAAAAGTCGTAGTCAGAAGCCAGTATAATAATAAAATAAATGTGATTTGTACTGAAATTTTGTGTTTTATATTTTCCAGTAAAAAATCGAGACCTACGCGGATGCACTGAAATAATACGCAACTGCGATGTATTGGGGGTGAAGTTGCCATCGGATCAACAAGGGAGGTACATTAAAATGTTAATAGAAGGAACACGGCCGGAACCAAAACAACCGGTGAAACATACTTCAAATTATTTTAAACTTAAGTTCTAGATGTATATTTAAGAAACGTTTGTTAATATGTACATATGTACAATAAATGTTATTTCATACATTATTGTTTCCAAATTATACCGAAATAATAACCCGCCTTGGTGTACGATTTTGTACGATTGGTGTAAATATGTAGGATTGTAATATTATATTATCTGTGCTTTTAGTCAGTCATGCAAGCCATATTTTTTATTATTACCGTTCAGTTCGGCTATCTGCATCAGTTGAGAAGAACTGACAAAAAACTCAACTAGTAACTACACTTTTTATGTTATTATATTTTTTTGAAGTCTTTATAAAAAAACCATGACAATAGTGTATCAACCGGATATATTGAAAATCCCGTGCCTTTATAATCAATAGGTTCCATTTTAGTTTTTAATGTTGGCGGTGCATTTTTATTAAAACTACAAATACGATATTTTGTTTATCTAACTTGTATATAAGCTAATGGAGAACCAGTATCTATATACTTTAATAGCACTCTGTATATACATCGCCTATTGTACTCATCACACATTGTCAATATGTGATGAGTACCCAATACAGTAGTACTTCCCGTAAAGGGTGATAATGAAATACTATTTTCGTCTGCGCTAACGGTATACGCTGGCGAGGCACCACTGGAGGATGATAGGATGGACATGAAGTTAGACCAGTTTTTTTATACCACGTAGGTAGTAAATAGGCATACGGCCCATCTGATGGTAATCGAGTTAGCGCAGTTACCCCATTGTGACGAATTCACCAGGAATTAATCACGATGGTTTCCATGGAGGACCACGTCGGCCTATCATAGTAAATTGTTGGCAATGGGGATACTATTCCCCAGAACTAACAACTCCTTCCCCCCCTTCCCGATGATATAGGTACTTAATAGATACTATGTAGTTTTGCTGTCCTGTCTTGACTTAAAAACTGAAACAGCTTTCAAAGCAAGCTATTTGGGTCCGGAAATAGGTGAGACAGTGATAAGCACGGATGATGACTTAGAACAAAGCCTCCCTAGATAGAAATTAACACACAGGGTCGTTTCCAGATAATTGTACTCGGATATGAAAATTGCAGTAAACTGCAATTGTGTGTTAATAAATATTTGCCTGTTGTCTAAGAAAACACTAACAGCATGATCATGAAAATATAATATAATGTCATTACTAAGGTTTAGCTAAGATTTGTTTAGAAGGTGATAAAATAGTGAATTATAATGAAGTCGAATATTTTAGTTTAATAATTATTATAATGCCTGAGTAACATAACTTCTTACTTATAGAATTAGAAGTAACAAACATTTATATAATTAATGGGGACATGTATAATAAAAGTCTTTGTGTCAGGCTTTGCGGAGAGAAATTGCATCTCTGTGCATTTTCTACCGCATAGATATATTACGAAGAGTGTTCTGAGGACTTGTTCGGATTAATACCAGCTGCTTAATTTCACCATCGTACTATCCGCCTGAAACTAAAATACCATTCTGAACGTCTTTTTGCCACGAACAGCCACATTTTTTTTTCACTTTCCAGCAATGGTATTTCCGAAACTGTATATTGAAACCTGAAAAAAGTCCTTATTTGTTCTTAAAAGTTCAGCAACGCATTTGTAATGCCCCTGGTGTTGCTATTAAAAATTGATGACTGTAAGATTAATACATGCAACATTCAAGATACAACAAATACATGACATGCATTATTGTATACATGTATTACTAAATATAAAAATAAAAAGTCTACTACAAAAAAACACTAATAAAAAGTCTTCTGTAATGAATAATCATATTTTAGAAAACCAATAAATATACCACATTTATGTAATAAAATTTAAATTAATTTCATGTTTCAGTATTTCATAGAGTGGTGTTCTAGAAGTTTACAAGGCGGTGTATTCGAATCGTGCAATCACCAAAAAAATTACTGTATCTATTTATGTTTTCGACTTATTGATGGTGATGAAAATATCTATTTAAACCAAATTAACCTATGAAAGAGTTGTAGGTTCGTTCCATGCCCCTTGGTTACCTAAAGCCGGCTTCATAAAAACGAAGCAGTTAACCTTCTATTGTGATCTACTTAGAGAGGACGTGTCGAGTGTTTATGTTAACAATGAATGGAAAATTAATTAATGGAATGTGCCATAAGATAATATTGATGACGAATTAAAATCTTATCATTTTATCTATATTACGGTACTATAATAGCAACTTACCTGTGTGTAAATTCTAAACACATTAAGCTTATAGATATACATTGACTTATAATGTTAAGTAGGTAATTTATATAGAATTGTAAAATTTTGTCGTCATAAAGTAATGCATCATTGGGCAAATATTACATATTGTTCGAACCAGTTTCACATGTTCATAATAAACGTAAATTCATTGACACCTGAAATATGGTATCCTTTGTTCACAGATGTCTAATTTCTGTGACTGCTAATAAGATGATGGCACGCTTTATGGAAAGTGATACCAAATTGTACTGTATAAATAACGTGGTAGATATAAGACAGACATGGTATTTAGCTATTGTGACTGAGTGGAGACTTAGGTAGTGTTCAAATAATAGACACTTTAATACTCTATGTAGGATAAATACTATATGCAGGACTAATACTATATGTGTGACATTGTAGGACTATGGAGGAAATTGTTAATTCTGGCAGACGGATCAGAATTAACAATTATCTTATTGATTCACGCCAGACATACGTCAAACGAATGTACGTACATCTAATCTAGGTGGGTCACACAAAATCACATCGCTTGGTAACAGTGATTCGTCTACATCAAAAGTCAAATGAAATAATATTCATATTCTCTAAAATGTGATTGCTCGCTAATAATTTTCCAAAAAAATTAACCTAAACCCAGCAAAATAATTTGCAAGTCGAGAAGAAAGCCGTGAAACAGTCAACACCTACATAGCTTATAAAACAATTCCCCTCACTAAAGACTAAAGTCGTATCCGTCAGGCGGAATTTGGCCTTCAGCCGCTCCATAAGTCCATACCGCGGGTTTGGAGTGAGAGTATTGGAGTATCCTATCGTCCGGTGAAGCTGTAAAGGCTAGCTGCGGCCATCGGCATTAGAGTAGTCCGAAAAAAAAAACTAAGACAATAAAAACAAAAATCCAATATTTATTAACAAACTGAGGTTGACTATACGAAGTCGTGCGTGGGAACCTCTGTATCACTCATTTTTGTCTTTGTAAGCTGTGGATAAAAAGACTAAAATGAGTGACACAGAATGGCTTCGGATATGGCAGTGAAGTTATAAGATACTGAGGTCTGATATTTTATTCCTCCTTCCTGTAAACGCCCGAGAGCTACTATGGCCGTTTCATAATGACGTGGTGCGTGGCGTGGTTCATATATATATATATATATCTATACGAGACGATTACTACTTAAACTATAGTTGGAATTACCACAAAAATTGTGGTAAAAACTGTGATTGTTAAAAATTATGTTGTGAATACTATAAATGACGTAGTGGAATAACTTGAAACTGTCATGCTCGCTATAAAGTTCAAACTTGTAGCGGCGTGGTGGGCCGGGTCAATGTGCGACCTATAATGTTGAGTGCAATGATGGCTAGCTCATCCGTCATACTCGTGTACGGATGCTGCTTGTGGGGACTAGTCTGTTCAGGTTACGAACACTACAGAGTATTTGTTTTTGACAAAATTAAAATAGCATATATATGTAAAACAGAATTTTATTATTGTAAACATGTACCTACAACATTTTACGAAAAGAATCCGAGCTGAGTTTCTTGTCAGTTCTTCTCATCTCGAAATCACTGCGAACTGACGGTAGATTTGGCATATCATGGAGTCTGTAATAGACCTACATGAATAAAGATATTTTGATTTGATTTGATTTTGATGGTCATTCCAGTTACATAAAAAATAGTTATGGTGATTATTGACCCCATTGCTAACAATATTCTGCTAAAGATTGACCGTCACGCTGGAAACCGTCGTAGTTAATCGCTAGTGAATTCTACGCAATGTGATAACTGCCCACACATAACATATACACTTGGAGCCTCGTCATATAATCGATTATTAAAAAAAAAACTAAAAACCTGTAAGGTGACAAAATTAAACCAGTAACTTGATCCATTATATATAAAACCCTATCTATTTTTGGACAACATTTACATAAACTACCAATATATAAGCCAGTGTTAATTTGTCCATATTGGTTTACTAAAGTGAGACTTTGTAGAAAGTTTAATTTTTAAAACAAAGCTCTGTTATAAGAGATGAGACATACTTAGCAGTGAAATTATTGGTCACGGAGCCATAAAAGCAGTCCCAAAGAACAGCAAGCAAGACTGTATCATAGGTATTTTGTGATTTTAATGAAAATGCCTATAATTGACGACTACCACTAATTCGAGTGGACGTCTACTTGGTACCATTCTATGTCGCAGGTATCAAGAAAATACAAAATAGCGCATAACAAATAATAGGCAGAATCTATAATTATAGTTAAGTATAGTCACTGATTAAAATCAGTCTACAATTACGTTCATATGTTTTTATATACAATATTAATTTTTTCTTCAAAAATACAAAATGATCACTTTCTATGCGCTTACCTATGCTTAACCCATTGTAGCTACTTGTAAGCGACCACTGATATTTTTAACTGTAAAACAATAGTATTGAGTTAAAATGGATCTCATAAAATTATCTCAATCAGTGGTTTCGTCGAATATATTTAATCATCTCAAATTAGTTACTTTTTTATGATCTAAGCTGTTGTGATTAATTAACTCGCAAACTCCATCTCTAGATAGGTACTAAGTACTAAAATTACATTATTCGTCCTCTAACACTTTGTTATCGTCAGTACTATCAGTGATTGAAAAAATATTTGTTTATATAAACAATAAACTACTGAGGTTATCTCGGTCAGAGCATCATTACCATAACTGTATATAATTAGTTAATCAACAATTAAGTACAATGTCTTTGTTCTAATGTAAATATTATATTTAGCATAGTACCTACATACTTGGTTGTAGCTAGCTAGTACTTAGGCATATGTTTAATAGGGGACATATAGAGAGAACTAGAGACGACAGATGGTCCAAATAATAACAAATTGGTACCCGATGGAAGAAAAACTATCACCAAGGCAGACCAAACAAAAAATGGAGCGACGATATTGCACAAACAGCGAGTAAAGTATGGTGTACATTAGCAAAAGACAGAGACTCTTGGAAACTTTTGGAGAGGCTTTTACCGCTAAAAGCGGTCCTTGTTTTTAAAATATATCTATTACATAAAAGAAAGTAAAAAATACAATTTAAATAAGTTAGAATTAAGTTTGTACATATTATTTTGTCTGTGAACAAAAAAAACTTGAAAAAGCCGTAGGCCGTGTTGCTATGTTTCTCCCTAGTATGTTTAGAAGCTGAATCTTGCTGCCTACCACCTGGGAGAAATCGGTATTAAGCCTAATATCAGGAATGAGAAATAAGGAAAAATAAGCTTTTAAGGAAAAATGTACGTCAACCAATTTTTCATATGACAAAAATTCCCGTATACATAGGTAAATAGGTAAATGCCTATAGCGAACAACGTAATAGATATTGTTTTATTATCGTATTTTCTTTGTTAATTACTTACTACCTTTAATTATGCTATAATTCACAACTGATAAACAGACGCATAAATAATTATAATAACATAATGCTTTCTCGTTTGTATGTATGTACATATATAATGCTACAGTCATCAAATAAACTAATTTTCCTGATTTATATACAGAGTAAATATGGAAATGTTTTAATGAGCCTGATAAACTGAATTTTATAAGCAATATGTTAATAAATAAAACAATAAATTTTAAAGAATGATATCGAATAATAAAAGTATTAGGTACGTTGCATTTTTTAATTTTCAGCTGATTAGTAATTTGTGCTTTTGATTGAAAAAGCACAGGCTATATTTCTTATATTCTACATTTCTTTATAGGACAGTATAGTAAAATATACTTTTCAAAAGTAATTAAAAAATTATGGTCAGTCGTTAGATATTTTATATTAACCGCTGGTTGTCTCCATGAGTTGGCCACAAAGAGGTCGACATAGTACCTATATGGCTAGCAAGGGAGTCTTAAGTCCTTTATTAATAATAGCCTTCGCATCTAGTAACTAACCATTCGAAGTTATTATGACAACCTTTCACTATTGTTTATTTGGTATCATCTAACATTGGCCTTTGAGCCATTGACACATTATTATATCTAAGGATCAAACACATATCGCATCATTACACAAGACTACTAATCAGAAGTGTGAGAGCAGAGTGGAAAAAGGAGTGAATAAATACTTACCCCATATCTTTAGTAAGAACACATGCTCCATGTAGACTATGTAGACTTTAATATACATCTTGATTTGTAGTGCATTCCTTGACTTCTAATTCTGAGCTGTACATTTACAAATGCATAACAATAATATCGCTTTTAATTGGAAAGTTCATTACGCTTACCAATACGTATGTAAAAATATGGATGATTTTAAGTAATTATTTAGAATGAAATTATTTTAAGATACAACAACGGTAGCTAAGCTAAAAACTGTTTTTTGTAACTTTAACAATGATTGTAAAGGACGTCCTGATCCCCCAAAGGATCCTAGGTTCCTAAAAGTTAAGGGTTTACTTTCAATACGATAGTTTCGTTTCTTGTTCATTAAGTTTATCATTTAGTCAATCCATCGTTAGACAAAGTATCTTTTAGACCTCCATATCATGTCTTCTGATGATAATAATATATTCAGGGTGTACAATATTGAGGTTATCGTGCACCAGAAGATCCACTTGTCATATAAATATAATAATTTAATACAGCGTTATAATGATGTCTCTGTGTGATGACAGTATATACTATTATTGTATATTTTTTCAAATAACTTCAGACAATTCATACAATTTAATCTAGTCGCAGGCTAATCAGGTTTTGTGTTATGTGTACTAGTCACCTCATATAAATACTTAAATACTTTTTTTTTGTAAGTATAATAATAAACACCCAAGCCAGTAAAACATTTGTACTAATGAAAATAAATGTTTGTACCGTACGAGGAATCAAACCCGCAACCATCATAAGTAAGGCGTTGTGCTGAATCACTAGACTATACAGACAGTAACCATGGGAGGTACCACTTTCTGGGATTAAAAGATAGGACATTGAAAATAAAACACATCATGGTATATATGATACACCCAAGAAATCGAAGGAGCAAATCCGGCCAACATTAAAAAAATAGTATTGATACATACTAAACAATACAAATACAACAAAAACTTGTATAAAAACAAAAAATAATCCAAGTGACTAGGCAATCACCCTGTAATGTTGGATTTAATTATAACAAGCTAAATGTGGACATGTCAGGTGTTGTGTTCACCACGACATTACGTTATGGAAGGTAACACGAGCGGCATCCTTAGTGTTTCTATACCTAAGGCCTAAAATTTATGTCAGACAAGGCATATGTGTTTAACATCATGTGTTTTTGATAGTAATTCAGATTATTGCCATTGTATGTTGTTAGCTACTTAGCTTAGTATAATATTAATCAGATTTAACTTATGGTACAGACAGGTACACATTGTATTTTATAGATGTTATTTTTTACGTTAAGTAGAGAAGAATACTTCGTTTTATCTTTTATGTCACTACATAGAAGTTTTGGTACTTCTTTGCAAGTAAATAGTTAGGCGGGAAGCTTATAAAATGCGTTAGTAGGTAGGAGGAAAATGCTTTACTGGTTATACTAAAATTACATTGTAGCAAACCAGGTTTGTTTCCCATGGTACAATGAGCGTAAGAATTACACCTTTAGAATTTTTGAATATCTAGTCTGGCTGATGAAACACCAACATCCTCTGTGATTTTAGAATGCTTTTCATATGTGTCCATTAAGACGATGCATCACAAATATTGACGTTGAAAATCTAAATTCTCATTCTCAGCAATTGCAAATCATTCGTGGCTGATATTTACTTATTTATTTTTGCACATCTTTTACAGCATGTACATTGCTCTTGTTACATGATTGATTAACTTTGTAGCAGAGAAAAAAATCTTAAAGAATGGTCTTATAAAACGTAAATTTACATGGTTTAAGAAAACTGATAGTTAGTTATCACGGCGTCGCCTTAAAGTAGTTAGTTATAGTAGTATTTAAATACCGTAAAGAAATAAGACAAATATTATTAAAAATAACTGTTTATTGTGCACAGAGAAAAAAATACAACAGGAAAAATAGTAGGTATGTCACAAAACAAAAACAAAAAGCGGCCTTATCGCTACAGGCAATTTCTTACAGTCAACTTAGATGGGAAGAGTATGTACATATAATAGGTAGGTGGCACAGTAGGTACTACGCATTGCTAATAATAATTAAGGCTTCTTTCTGTCTCCAATTTTTGTACCTAATTCACACTTCAATTCGGAATTATTACCCATAGGGTTTTACATTATGTTATAGGGTACATTAGTATAATAATAGCGTCGGTTAAGAATGTTACTGCTGTTTGTTATGGGCGGGAGAGCGGAGGATTTCTAGAAAGTAGTAGGAGCTATTGCCTCCACTACTAACTACGTTATGTATGTTATCAGTTTAACATCGACAAGGACCATTGATAACCAAAAAATGCTAGTGAATTTGTCATAACGCGAAGACAGGCTAGGTAACGTGATTTCGTTCTCATTCTTTCTTTACTACTGGCCAATTAGAGCAGGCGAGTTTATATTTATTCCACTGTTTCTCAAAAAGACTTCGACGGCTTCGATAGTTTAACATTTTATTACACCACTTTACTTCCGATGGTCGCGGGTTCGATTCTTCGCACGGTGCAAATCATTTGAACTCATGAGTTTAACTTTTTTATCGGCCTGGGGGTATTCTATGTATATTATGTATGTATTCACAAAAAAATCTAAGTATTTATATCAGTTGTCTAGTACCCATGCCACAAACTCTGCTTCCCGTGATTAGATGACTGTGTTTTAATTGTCCAAGGTTATTTATTTAATATTATGGAGTATCTATAATAAGAGTGTTCCTGTGAACATAACTACGAATATTTTGATTTGTGGCCTCTAAGATCTTCTATGGTACCTCGTGTATTGCCATTTCGGAGGACCATTGTCATGCTACCATATCTCAACGCATAATTGCAACAGCTTAAAAAGAAATTGCTGGTGGTAGCAATAACCAAGACAGAGATGCCCACGCAGGCTATTTAGTATTAAACCTAACGCGATAAAATTGGGACTCAAAGAAAAACAAAAGATATAAATTCATTTACAGTGGGTCCCTATCTATTATATAATAATATAACATTAATGTATTACTTACTACCTATAAGTATATCTAAATAGATTTCAGCTTACTTTAAGTAGGTATCCAAAAATTTTTATAAAAATGTTTGTTATATCTCTATATTATTTAGAAATTTGTACAAAAAAACACACGCTTCAATACAAATTTTAATTTAATTAAAATATTTCTATAAGTATATCTAACAACGTATATAATACTTAACAATAAATAGGATTTTTTAAAAACGAGTAATTTCATTCTCCTTCGGTTTCTTCTCCGGTGTTGGAGGCGGGGTCTTTTTGCGAGATTGTAAATGGAGTATTCTGTAAAGAAAAAAATACTTTATTATAATTCTATAATATTTAGACATACTTCAATGTAATACAATAATCAATATCAAATCTAAAAAAAATCACTACGTGTATTACATTAACTTTGCAATATGATTTAGGATAATGAATAGAATGCAATGGAACTACCAAATTTATTAATATCTAAAGGTAAAATGCACAAGCTTTGGATGCAAAATTGCCTGCAATGCAAATTAGTATTACTTCGAAACATGTTCAATGTTCATAGAAAAGGACTACTGGCCAAAGGGGGTGGTGTATCAGCGCTCCCGTGATATATTGCCGTCGGCAGTGCCCGTGACTATAGAGACAAATTATACGTATTATTATTTCATATGTACGTTAGTCTATGAGGTAAATAAATAAATAAGTGTATTTAGGTGTAACAGTATATATACCTAATTAACGGAATAATATAGACAATTAAATAAGTTAAACTTGTTTAATAAAAATATCATTACATTTGAAGTACGAATAGGTAATAAAAAGTCTCGTACTGTATATAACAAATTGGTTGATGCGCCCCATTTCGTCTGCGCATTGCTTTTTCCAATAGTACCTATATTTTTCTGTTACGATGAGTTTTTAACCGACTTCAAAAGAGTTCTATTTCTATCGCAATGCATGTATACATATACATTATTACCCTTCAGAAATTCTGAATCATCCCAAAATACTTACATCCTTCATTTCAACTCCTATGCTACTATCGCTAATTTGTCTCTACACTAAAATAAAATTTGTTCATCGCTTTCGGTATGACAGACAGGCGTACTCACTTTCCTTATAATATTAGTATGCATTAAATAATTAGTTACTATACGAAACGTAATAGTAATTATATCTTTCAAATAAGTTATGGCAGTTAATCATTACCTGTTTAATTAACAAACAGGTATATGTACTATTATTACAATAAAATGACATATTAACTTTCGTTTATTTTTATCTACTTATTAATATAATTGTAGGCCATAATGAATTTAATTTTATAGAAATACTATAATACAATAGATAAATATTATTAATAACAAAGTTTTTGACATATGGCGTTTTTTAAGTCAGTTCATTATGTAAAGAAATTTTATGAAGTGGAAATATTTTATCAAAATATACTTAACGGGCTTTATATATTCTTTCACTTATTGAAATATTGACTATTGTTAAAAATAAACTAGAGATTTTTTATGTTTAGCTTGAGAAACATTAAAGTACGGCAAATTAATTGTTATCTGTATAATGTATATATATATAATTATATTGTATAATCATTAATATATTAAACAGGCTACTTATAAAGTAAATATAATAGTTCAATAGTAATTTGAACTGATATCGGAGTAAACACAAGTTGAACATATTCCTTACTTTGTATCACGTTATCATTATATAATCAATTTCTGACCTAAAAATAACCTTAGCTGAAGTCTAGAGTCGCCCTTAAACATATTTCCTTCAATATGCAATATTTAATGTATTTACTGCAATTGCAGACTACAAATTATATCAGTGTGTCAATTTTATTACATTAATTTACGATTGTACCTTTTGTAACTAATTACAATGTTTGAGATAAGTATTACAATTAGGGTGATATGAGCGTGCATGACTAATTATATTCATTTTACAAATTGTAATATTTAGAATTTTATAGAATGCTAAGGCTTATAATTATATAAATCCATAAAAAAGTTTACGGCCCCTAATTTAAAATTTACTTATGCGGCTCTCGGTTCTATTTTCATAAGGGCATCTCTTACTAATACACTGCGTATATAAGATTCATGCTGAATTTTGTATACCCAAGAGTTATCTATGTACATACTAATTCTTACAAAGACCTTAGGGTCTCATTTCACTTTATACGAGCACCCAAGTAACCTAGTACTTAATACAATAGGATAAGAAATGAAAATCATGATTAACTGTATACTTATAAGTGTAGAAACCTTTGACCTCAAGGGACTTGATGTAAATAGTTAAAAAAATAATGAAGTGTTACTCCACTGCTGGTTTTGTCGATTTCTACGCATATCGAAATAGAAGCTATTTACAAAAAAAACTGTTATAAATGGCATTGTGCAAAAGACTGAGCCTATTTGTGAAGGATTTATTTTATACTCTCTCTTTTGTAATTCTTTGTCATATAAAATCAAGTCAGTTATATTAAATTCATAGGCCTATAGGCCTTTTATTACTATGTACATGGAGCATTGAAACATTACTCAAGGCTACACGTATACTAATAGAAAACAAGACACAAAAACATATCTATTTAGTACCATAACAATTCCATCGTAGGGCAAAATTAGGCCAAAGGTATAACAGAAATAGAAAATAACAGTTCAAGGCTTAAATCGCTATTAGAAATCGTTCATTGATCTAACAAAATTACGGTAAGGGCGAGCTCTCGACTTGACCGCAAGGTCTCTTTTTTGTTAAAATGGTGAAATAATCACTGCAGCTTAGGCAATGTGGAATAATGCATTTGTCACCTGTTGTATTCCAGTAAATAAAAGTATAAATACTGTGATATAAGTATACAATGAGTCTTTTAATTTTACCAAATATCAAGGCGAAACTAGTTTTTCTTGATTACCATACAGTACAAAGAAATGTGTTACTATAATCTTATTAATATCATAAACGCGAAAATTTGTGAGTATAGATGAATGTTTGTTACTCTTTCACGTAAAAACTACTGAACGGATCAGAATAACAGATTAATTCACGCGGGGGAAACCGCGGAAACAACAAGTATATAATAAATTTTAAAATGGAATTTCAAATAGGCACCTGTCTAATTTGTCTAAGTTTCATAATAGTAGCAATATTTTATCTGAAAACGCAATCAATAATAAAATAGAAAAAATAGAGGTCATTGACATATTTCTCGTTACTGCCTCTCATGAAAGCAAACTATCGCGTTAAAAAGCAATCTACGGTCAGAGACCTGGGGATAATGTGGAGCGACATTACTTACTCTATTAACCTTTGTAATTTATGACAATAAATAATGATATTAATAGTAATAATTGCTCCTTATTATTGAACGTTATAAAGTGAAGAAAAACTTAAAATTAGATTCTATACCGAACTTCCTAGCCTCACTTGAGATGATACTCGTGCCCATCAATGGGAATGTGTGAAAGATTACTCTGTCAATCATGTCGCTATAAGTTAGGCTTTATAGCGATCATGACTTGTTGAAGTTACTCTACTGAAGTGTCATATTCTATGAAACATATATCTCAATATCCATTATGAGTTTTTTTAACCTTACAGAAGAGGACTTAGTAGAATGTCAATTTTGGCCTAATATATTTCTTCAAGATTGCAGTGTAAGTTGTATTTTGGTTTGTAGGGTGACAGATGAATCATGGTAAGAAAATAACAGGTATATGTCAATGCTGCTTTTCCAGTTATAAGAAGAAATAACAAAGACTTACATTAAAATAACTATGGCAGGAACAGCTAACGCAGCGCTAATGAGGTAGAATGCGCCTGCGAAAGTCGATAAAGTAGTAAGGTACACTTTGCTGTACACAGGAGAGTAGATCACAGGTACCAACGCTTCTGATATGCTTATAAGAGAGCTTGTTTTACCTGTAACAATAAAACCGTTATGATGAATGTTAATAATATTTTTTTAGCATCTTATGTTAACCTTGCCATCTATGTACTATCTCAGATTAGCATCCACGCAGTGCTCCTGGAAACCATTGTGGTTAATTTCTAGAAAATGTATCACAATGCTAAATAACCCGAGTTCAAACTTATTCTATCATTATCCACCTGCCAGCATATACCGTTGGATTAAGTCTCATTCCATATTCATAGATTAGAAATGGGGTATTTTGGAGCAGTATTCCATCATCATACATTATAAAATATATAAGTTTGTACAAAGATGATGCAGGTTAATTTCTGTTGTTAGCATAATGGCATAACATAGATACTTAAATTAGATTAGTAGTAGTAGTAATAGAATAGTAGTTTTACTGCGTAGCATTATTCATACCATATTTAACCACGGATGACAGAAAATTCACCGCGCAAATGCTAAAATTAAGCTAAATTGACAGGACTTATAATTAGAAATCAAAATTTGTTCCGTAAAGCTCTTTAGAAAGGGGCTTAGTTTAACGATGAGAAAACTCGTTGTTTAACAAAATATTATTCCATTATCATCTTAAATTATGTTATTAAATCAATCAATAAATTGGAATAATTAATTTATATTGTATAAATTTAAAATATTATAAGGTACCTATATTAAATATTTTTTTTATATTACATTATTACGTTATTACAATAATATATTTTATGTACCTAGTTGATATAATGTTTATATCTAATTACGACTGTCAATCGATAAACCATTTTTAGAACTAATAGAGTAACCTGAGTTCCTCATGTCGCAAATCACCGACCTTAAATTTGATGTTAAAACGGCATTTAAATAATTTTATTCTCTCACACGTATGGGACATGTGTGTACATAATGCAGAATAAAATGTATATGAAAGACATACACACATATTATTTAAACTTGCCTTTCCTAGTATAGATCAAATTAATGTACAGTTAAAGTTTAGTTTTATACTCCTCTTTTAACCATTCAATATACTTCTAGTAATTGGGTGACGTGGGGCTTGGTAACATATGGCCGGGATTCACGATATCCCTGGATCAAGCATCAGACTCTCACAAACAAAATTATTTTTCTTAATTGCTTATTGTTTACTATATTTGCTGTCAAAGGAACACTAAAAAGGTTTTCGCTTTCGCAAATTATAGTTGTTGTAATATTTCTATATAGGAAGTAAATAAACGGTGCCCCCAAATAGGAATGTGGTCAGTGGTGTCGCGACCCTGTGATGGCTTGTGTCGGACCCGCGTTTAGATAACAATATGCGAGAGGCGTGATAACATTTGGTATTTTGCCAGTCGTCTCTCATGTGTGAGACTTTCGATTTGGGTCACAATGTTATTGTTTTTATAGTATGTATAGGAGAAAATTCTGCCAAGCAGTTTTGTAATGTCTTTCTGTTGTAGACTGGGAAGTGAATTTTGAAGATAAAAGACATGACTCATTAGTCCTCCGAAATGGCAGAGCTTGTGTGGCATGATGATAATATGATTCTATTCATATATAAGGCGACGGTTACCGCTTACTGTTACGATCGAAAGTGTTTGTATCTATCTGTCATTTAGTTGTGAAATTTTAACTAACAGTCAATTTTAATTCTTTTTACAACTAAACGGCTGAATAAATCTCGTTCATTGAGATTTATTTACACGACATTATATTAGTTTTGGAATAACAATTATTTTAGTTTCGTTCGTTAATTATATTTAACCAATTGTTAAAGGCAGACTAAATATGACAAATTTATGATTATATAATTACTAACTGCCGTAAAAAACTTTATTTTGTTAAATAACTTCTGGATAGAGTCACCTATATTAACAAGGGGTATAAAAAATATCCAACAGTCTATTACCAAACGTACTTTTGGTACGTATTTCATAAAAATTGGTCATGCCGTTTCGACTTCGATAACAAACACTGTGACATGACATTTTTATATATAAGATTATTATGCACTTAGCATCTATGGCAATTTCTATGAGATAATGACACAAGCAAACAAGTTTATCAAGAATGTGTATATTATACAAAAACGGAACAACGGAATTACCTTAGTGTTGACATTGTTTTGTGTAGAGTCAATACATCCACCGCACGTAATGTGTAATATATGACGGAAAATGACGACGATATCGTTATGCAAATAGACTGAAACTATTTTATATGACGACAGTAGTAATGTCGTAAATTAAGTAGTCAGAGGTATACTCATAAGACTATTATATTTTTTTATGGATGATAATGGTATACCTAGTGCTCCCGTTTACGATAACGGTTTATGCTGGCGCGGCACCAATGGAAGATGATAAGATAGAATAAAGTGAGGTCAGTTAGTCTATTGTGGCGAGTTCACTAGGAATTATCAACAATATTTTCCAAGGAGGTGCACGTGGAGTTTAATCTGACACGAGTACGTTGTTAGCAATGTAGCATGTATTATATTTATACGATTTCCTTGAACTGCTCTATCTAAATCATTCGGTTAATTAGTATTCTTAATTATAGGTTAATCCTACACCTTTAACTTCACATTATTGTAATTTAGAATTTGGATACAAGTATCTAATAATAATTTTTTTATTAATTACAACTTTAGAAATGATATTAAAATTTAATGAAATTGAATTGGAAATTTACATATCTAACTATTGATTATTTAGTAAGGTAGTTAATTATAGTATCACATATATATATATATGTATATATATATATATATATATATGCAGGAAACCAATAATCACCTAAATATGAAATACGAAGGCATCATTAGAATCATTTGGAAATTTACTCAGATCTTTTGTAACACCAATATAAAGTGCGGTATTAAGTTATTATAAAATTTATCTTTACAGTAAATACCTAAGTGTATTTACAAACATCTGAATTTGTTACAATCCTATTTTAGTATGTAACTATATATTTACAAAGTCTTAAAGATAACAGAATACCTATTAACTACCAAATAAACAAACAGTAGTCCAACAATTAGTAGTAGTCTTATCAGATGCAAAGATGCGACTCAGCACTAATCCATGAGTTCCAGGAAATAGGTTGTATAAGAATAATTTTATAAAAATTAAATAAATATTTAATTGTTATATAGGTATATAATTTAATGGATGACAGTGGAATGGTGCAGTCGCCTGCGCAAATGGTGTACACTATCGGAGCACCAATTGAGAGGACGAGGAGAAAATTCCTTAGATGAAGAGAAAGGTCATCGTGGAACTTATGGAGATTTACCTCAAATAAGATACATTGCTAGCAATGTGGTCACTAGTGCACATATGCATACTCCCGTTTCAGGCATAATATGTCTAATAATACCTAAAGTAAATAGCCTTTATTTTTTTTAGCATGATTAAAAGAAATGTAGATATGTATGTTACAGTAGTATGACTGATGTGATAAAATCATTTGTCATTTGTATGACACGTAAAGATGTGAAATAATGTAGGAGAAAACATCCTGTACCGATCCCAAACAATAAAGATAAGCTATAGGATTATTATTTGTAATTTCACTATTTGATGTCTAGGTTCGGAATGAAGAACTGTTGGTTGTAGGGATTATTGATTATATATATATATATAACTATACAAGGAGGAGGGAGAATAATATAATGTCCTTCCACGAGTATTCTTTTTACCATTTGCGGAGACTGAAGCATTGTTCAACTTCATCAAAAACAAATGAGATAGTCATCTCCATCCACGAGTTTTGTTGCTATCGATCTTAGTGAGGTAGATCCAGCTGAACTAAACATATCCAACACTGGTCCAATGAAGTAAATGGTGCGGTTTGGTGCCAATGCATAGACAACACTTGCAGCTATTCTGCTCAAGCACGCTATGACACCGACCACGCTGTCGTCTATCTGCCATCTCTTGACGAAGAGATATATGGTTACGAATGAACCTGAACACAAAATACATTAATGTAAATAAGTAATAAAGGAATAACGAAATATTTGGATTTAACGATTACGGGTAGTAGTATCGATAGCTATTTTTTTGGCTAATAGGTATTGCAAACGAAGCAACGTATCGCCTCGATTTTCCATCAGGAATATAGAAACTATGTCGTCTCGATATACCCACCTGCGGATTCCTAAGAACTATCCTGTAATTTCGGTGCCCTTCAATCTCTGACAGGCCTCAACAAACTACTTAGAAATATGTAAATTAATGTAGTAATTCAGTACATCATTTCCTCATTAGATGTACCAACATAGTCAAGTGGATTAAACAAACATTACTATTACGTTGCAAGAAAGAGAAACATATTAATTTGTCAATGTGTGTTTATTTGTCCTTTTCATTAGGAATGTATTCTCGGAACCACATCATTCAAGCCATATTTAGTGTTAGTACGATTGTGACGGATTCGCTAATAGTATGATGACGTTAAATGAATTGGCATAGTTACAATCCTCAGTGTTTACATTCTTTATAGTGGTCATTATCAGAAAAAAAAAATCAGCGTTGTCAATTGTCAATTAAAACCTACTATATCCACCCTTAATTTTAGAGCAACTGTTTTATATACATTACATTACATGTACATTAGATACTTATAACAAAAACTACCTATTATTTATTTACGGATCGAGTACATAAATACGTAACACTTTTATTTTATTTTGCGAGAATTCATTTAATTAATTTATCAAGTAACGACGTAGTAATTTCGTAATTCACACGCTGCTGTTTTATTACTCACTTAGGTAGGTGATAAGTAAATTCTATATTTACTTTGTGGTCTTTACTGCTAGATTCTATAAATAATAATAGTATTTGCGACGTGAAAATTTTGCTTGATGTATGGTTGTTTGTTATGGTAACATGTTATCAATAGTACTGAAGCTATTATATGCTCTGTGGTTCAACGACTATTTGCTTATTTTAACTGAAATGACAAATAACTACGTATGCGTTTATAGTATCTACATAAGCAGTAAGAAAACAATAAAATAACTTGATACATGTACCTACATACAAGCATCTATTTTGATATGTTCAAACGTTTCTATTAGCTACTGATAATAAACAACAATAAAAAATTAAATCTTGTATTTATTTCAAGATAACACTAACATGAACTTAATTACGACTTATATGTAATACTCATACAATCATCTTACTGGTCAATTCAGGTTAGAACCGCCCTAGTAAACTGTTAAATAATTTCCACAGTTGGCTTACAACTCTAAGTATATTCTTCAGAATACAACACTTATATTCTAATGAGTACTAGAAGATGTAATGAAATACAACTAGAATATTAATATAAAATTATATAATAATATGTAGACAAGCGTAGCTCGTATAACTAAATACTTAATGACATACTATATGAACATAGATATATATAAAAAAAAAAGTAAATATAGTCTATTGTTATTTAACTTTTTGTATTATTTTATACATAAAGAGTTAAAAAATAATCGCCTTAATGGGATATATTACTATTTCATAGCTGGCTTTTTATAGCATCTGTTTTGTTACAAATTATTCTAACGTTGTCGGCCATAACTCAACAAACGAGAGCAATGTGAATACCGGGGATCAAAACCCGCTGAAGACCTTATCGAGTGTCTGAAGGCCGACTTTTATGTAAAAGACAGGTCTTTAGTCTGAAGGCCAAAGTACTTTTTACGTTTTCGGGTGATTTCGGGAACAGTGTATTATTGGGAAACGAAGATGGGAGTGATCTTCCTAAGATTGGCATCAAACAGGCAAGTCAAAAGAAGCTACTAAATTAATTAAATATGTATATGTATCTACTAATATAAATATTTTGCCTGGTATTACTAACACCAAAATCACCAAAACCAACAGTATATTTTTATAACGAATAATAATGCATAATTACTTCGTATAGCTAATTTGCTTGTTCTCATAAAGGCACGTGTGTATACCAATACGAAACGAATTAGGACTTTCGAAGATAGTAACCTGATTCTTTATTTACACAATAGACATAATGCGCACAGCGTACTAAGTTTAATTGTTTTGTAAATATTCCATTTACGATCAACCGCATAAAACCTAGTTATGTGTTTCATTAATTCCAGGTACCTACATATATGTATTAGTTATGTTGTATTTATACTTAGTAGCAGATCTACCGTGTAGGAACAGGTTAAACTGGAAATATAAATAGATTGATTGTCAATTTAATCAAAGCAGGTACCTAAATCAAGATTATACCTACCTGCGAAGCGTATTGTTTTTTTTCGCTAACAGACACAAAATTAAATATCACTCTGATCAAATGCATTATCATGTGACTCGGTGATATTTCTATTTTTTATACTGGTGTCATCGTCATTGGTTTTATAGGACATATTCATTAGCATTCAAAAATGTTATTATATTTATTTCTTATAAACATTTTACAATAATTATTATAACTATTATCTCTAACAATATTATATAGACGTAATAAATTATGTGCATGTAATACGGGCTATTTTAATTTTGAATCTAATTTGATAGAAAACACAGTTTCTGTGTACACTTTAATATAGATATGAAATAGAGATAGACTAAGAGAACACCAGAGTGAAGATGTAGATAGAATTAAAGACTGAAAAATAGTAAAAGACTCCGCAAATATAGTTGAGAATGAAATAATGTTATTGTAAAAAAAGTAATGGTAATGACTAAAATTAAATTAAACATGTTTATTTTGGTTACTGTCTGTTATTACATTACAAGTGGGCAAAGATTGCTGAAAGTTTATGATTTTGATGATGTGAAAGTAATAATCTAATTTACATATATCCTTGTATATAAATTACTACATATTCTATATGTGTATCTAATAGATTTATTTATATCTATTCTAAGTACCTATTGAGTATTGTATATAAGACATATGTTAATAAAATCGCACGGAAAATTTTAAAACGCGCATTCTTAATTACATTTTCTAACAAATTTATTCTAGCAACTATGTAATAAAGGGAATGGAACAGATTTTCCCTATTACCATGAGTCTCGCCGTTTTACAAAATTAAGTATGTTAAAAAATAGACTTTACGAAAAGTAAATCTACTAATTTTTTTCATTAGGTTTATTAATAAAATAAGAAAAATTTTGTATTTCTTACAGCTCATTTTTATTAGATGTAAGTAGCAGTAATTTCCGGATGTAGGAATAGTTGAGACATTTTAATATCTTATTCATGATATTTGGTAATTTGAAGAAGTTTGCCATTTTGGTGATAGATCCCGTTATACATTTGATTAATTATATGTAAATAATCGCCGCTTCAAATAAATAGTATAAATAAGAAAAATATAGTATTTCTTACAGCTCATTTTTATTAGATGTAAGTAGCAGTAATTTCCGGATGTAGGAATAGTTGAGACATTTTAATATCTTATTCAAGATATTTAATAATTATGATTTGAAGAACAGCCGGTTCTTCAGTTTGCCATTTTCGTGATAGATCCCGTTATACATTTGATTAATTATATGTAAATAATCGCCGCTTCCAATAAATAGTATAAATATAAGCTTCATATTAATGTATAAGTTTTAAATTAATGATGGGGCAAGTCTTTCAAAGTGGCAAGAATGAATAATGTGAGCATTATAGCTCATTTACCATTTCTATTAGTAAAAACCCAGAAATCACGAATAGTATAGAATAATGTTTAATACACAATGACCTGTATGGCAGCATTCCAGAGGACTAGTGTGTTAATCTGCCTATAAGTAGTGTGTAGCTGTGAATATTTCAAGTGCGATTAATTTATCATTATTCATCATCACACTTCTTTGTATTTGTTCGTTATTAATATTTAACGATTACTGGATTAACGATTACTATCTGAAAGCTGTACTACCTGTACTGTAAACTATACCTATACTGTAAAACTACAAATTATGTATTTTAGATAATTTTCTAGAATTTATATAAAAATATTTTTTATAAATGTACTTACTTTACAAATATACTTTCTTTTTGAGTTGCGAAAGCAAAATTTCTGAACTTTGGAACTTTCTGAACTGAGTTTAGTAGTTAGGAAATTAATTATTTTAATACAAGTACTCATTTATTTATTTCTTATTGTGACAATAGGATATTGTGTAAAGAAATCTGAAGTTTTAGAATGTAAATAAAATGACATTATTGTATGATAATGTGATTCTACGATCTACGGTAATACCCTGGTAAATTCACTTCATGGTGGCCCTCTCTTTATCTAAAATAGCTTGACGAAGTATTCTTAAAATTATCATTAAATTGATTTAACACAATATTTTTAATAAATTGTATAATCAATGTTAGATTCTTCCTGTTCTCACAACCTCTTAAGCAAAAGGCTTCTTCAGGCCGAAGTTACGCCACTGCATGTTATTCCATTGCTGCTCTACCCTAAGATTTATTATTATGCACCCCTATACAATTACCTGATTATAACTTACCGACACTTCCAACAAGCACGGAGTACGTGAGGAATAAGCTGTAGTCAACTTCGGTGAAATGGAACTTGTAGCGAGTGAACCAGTATGTCATCTGCGCCTCACCTTTATTCCAAATGAAACAGGTATTAGTAGGTAGCCACCGAGCGTAGGTGATCTGCAAACATTATTTGTAAAAGCCTCTACGTTTGCACATTGGGCCTCTAATGTTTTTTTGTTCACATCTACGTTGCTATAAAACTAAGAAGTAATAAAATCAGACTACAGACATGAAAATTTTAGTCTACGTACCACAATTTTGCAGTTAAAAATATTCTATTTTTGTATCTAAAATAGGTACAAATTTACTTTATATATTTGTGTAGAGACAATACGCGATATAAACATTGTAATTTAAGATTAAAGAAAGAAGAAGATTCAGAAGGCGGCCTTATCGCTAACGCAATCTCTTTCAGACGATTTTAGGAGAGAATGAAAGAGAAGTTAACAAAATAAAAAAATAAAACACATGTACACTTCTGTTTCTTGTCAACCGGCTTTAAAAATGAGTAGTTAATTCAACTGTATGTTTGTAGGTATGTCTATTTTATTTGATGTTTGTTATTCAATTATCTCTGACTGGAAAAAAATAACAATTTAGTTGAAAATACTTAATGCATTTTTACACTATGCGAGATAAAACAACTGACGGAATACCGTAACCTTCACCATAGATATCACAGATTATACTATGACGCACCTTATCACCATAACAACATTGCCTTAGGCAAAACATAGTAATAATTCGTTGGATCTCAGCAAAACCAACTAACTAGAGAAAACTAAATCGTCACGTCAAGATTATTGAATGGCAGCTGAACGATATGCTGGTCGTATAGACCGTTAGGATTCTTGTTAATTGAAGTAGCGTAAGTAAGTAAAGATCAAAAACTAATAATAAGAAAATATATCCTATCAGTCATGCGTATTTATCGTATTAAATTGTTTTGTAGTTTCGTTTTATAAAGAAAAAATTCTGTCAAAGTTGTCGCAACTACCTACATCTGTTAATTTTTTTGAGATCTAAGGTAATCTCAGTTCGTCCTCATGGTACAATCTATCTCTCATTTAGATCTGTTTAGCCGGTAACAAACAGATGGATAGATAAAATTATGCATTTATAGTATTGGTGAATGTATTTAAGAAGAACCTAAATATAAATAAAAAAAAATCTACGTTTCCCTTAAGAAGATTTTAATTAATATTAAGTGATATAGAAAAGAGACAAGAATTTTATAAATAAGTATATTTAGGCGATATATAGGCGATATTTCTCAATATGCAGTAATGGTTAGCTGTTGTTTTTTATTAAATAAATGTTTTCTCTTATTAATTACGCATGTACTTTCATATACATATAAATAATACATATACATCGTAAACAAAAAGACAAAATTATGTGACACATATCTAATTATAATTATCATTAATCATACTGTAACTATGGTACCTACTCGTAGGTTAAGAAAAGAAAAATTTGTTTTTTTTTTATCAGTGTATACCTAGTACACACAAAAGAGTACTCCGTTCTTACCGAGTCAATATCTGTGTAAACTGCACATGGTTGATATCAAAATCTTTTCGCTATCAGTCCACGGTTGGTAAAACTAATGTACTCAACTACTCACTGATTGAAATACCAAAACAGATTCTAAAGTTGTTTAATTACGACTTGTTTTCAGCTGTAGTTGATGTTTACAGCTGTTGATTAAGTTACTGAACTGCTCCGTAAATTATGCTCACTGAATTCTAACACTTTCTTCAGTCAACAGTAATAATATTGCTCTTGTAATATTCTTAGTGGTAACAATCTAAATACAATGGCAGATTCCTCAAAGTATTTTACAAAAAAACGTAGGCTTAAACATCCCTAAACAGCCACTACCTGTACTCACATATTCATGAATTCTAACCTCTTTCATCTCTGCATTTTGTAAAATTTTCTTCCAATTCTTTTTGACATAATTCCGAGATTTTTATTCGGCATGTGAATATATATTAACACTACAGCAGGTTTTTATGTGGATAAAACAATGAGAGAAGTAATTAATTTACGAACCAAATAATATTAGGTAGAAGATTCGATTCTCCAAAAACTAACCTACTCGGTTAATGCGAATATATAAGAGTAACAGCCAACTTTGAAACAGCAGAAGGATGCTAATTCTTATTCATATTCTGATTGTTGGTTGGAATAATTTATATTATATCATTGTGCAATAATGATTAGAATTCTTTATAAATGAAATTGTATTTTTTTAAAATACATTACTCAATTTCTCTAATACACCCACCGGGCATTAAAATATATCGAAACTCTGTCTGTTTTATTCTGAGAATTGTAGACAATTATATAAAGTTTTTCCTCTGCTCAGTATCCCGCCTTATATATTCTAAAGCGAAATGGGTAGCTATAGTTACTTCTTTAGAAATATACGAAGTAATGACGTCTTAGAAAATAGGTGTTGGTTTCGTAGAACACATTCAATACTGATAGTAATATGAAACTGTTAATCTTAAAATTAAACCTTAAACTTGTTAAGATTTTTATTGTAATGTATAATAAACATATCTCATAATACTAATAAAGAAGTCTGAATTGGGATTAATTTTTAATATATAAATTAATAACTAAAATAATTTATTTTTTACGTCAAATGATGCAATACATAGAATATATCCTTATTTATAAAATGTGATCGATTTCTTTTATTTTTTTGGGTTTAGTAAATAATAATTTCTTTTATATAAATACTTGTAAATAGTATTTATACTCAATAAGACTTCTTGTCCGCGTAATGCCTTTTTATTAGTAACGTACTTAAAATGAACAGTTTATACAATTTCAAGGCGTATGTATCGTCTGGAAATGAATACTGTACTGGACTATACTGTAGCCAATGTAGTTCCAGTGCATATTTTAGTATTATAAAGAAAGGGTTGAGAACAATAAATAGAGCATTTTCTGTCCACTATATATGCAAGTATGATAAATAAGGTATTATAACATCTAAACCATAGTTCATAGCTTTAGAAAAATAAACACTTACATAAGATTATTTGTGACTATAAAATTGTTACTAAAGAAATGTTTCCAAAAATTCTAATAATTAAAACAGATTCTATAAATAACTTTATTTCTATTACAACCTTGTGAAACTAAATGATTCAATAGCCAAAAATAAATATATTCTATCAACATTAAGAAGTATAAAAGAATATAATTATAGACAGGAGAAATAGACTTTTTACTTAAAACATTCGTATTTTCAAATATGTATAAGATTTAATCTGTCTCCGTCTGTCTATTTGTTACATTTTCACGCTTAAACGGTTGAACGTATTTTAATGGAATTTAATATGAAGATTAATGGTATCGCTAGGACTAACAATTAACCTAAACTTTTATCTGAAAAAGCAGTCTGACTGAAAAAGCAGAAACATAATGATTGGTAAATAATGCCTCCAGCATTACATACTTTGTGAACAATTCGTGAACATAAAATCGTATCCAGACTTTTTTCCTTGAAACCATCATGGTGAATTCACTACGGTCCGACGACCATCCTTCATCATCCGCATCCTTTCATCCATCATTGGTAATCTGCCGCCTTATACTGTTCACTTAGATACAATCACATTCATCTACCGCTAATAAAAATATATTTAATAAGTAATTTAAGTTTGCTAGTGATTTATTTTACGAAACAGTACCAAATTCGCGACCATGGTTGTGGGGACAATGATGTACTTATATTAATGCCTACATGTATACATGCATCTATTGCCATGTCATTCACCAATGCCAACAGTATGACATTCATTGTTAGCTAGTTTTCGTTAACGCGATTATGAAAGCAATGTGCTTATGTGACTATAATTTTCACATAATAAAAATTTATACCTACTCAAAATAGACAATTTTCGCAGAACATTTATCCCTTGAAATCGAAACATAATCGAAACATTGACTTGACATTTAAGATAACATACTATTTCTCTAATGCCACACAAGTCGTCAACTTGTGCCTATTAATTGAAATGGATTACATGAACAACATCACGGTCATAAAAAAAAAAATTGCAACAACAGTAATACCCCTTTCCATCCGCCACCCCTCTCCCTTTTCCCTCTACTACATAGCTATCTATTATGCCTACGTACACTATTATTTCAGTGATATATTTAATATATACAACTTGTAAATAAAAAATTGGGATTAAAGTATTGGTCGACGAACATGAACACGCCTTTCTAAACATGCCTACAGCATACGAACCCAATAAATTCTTTTTTTTTTGACTACTCTAATGCTGTTGGCCGCTGCTGGCCTTTACATATTCATCGGACGACAGGGGTGAGTGCAGATGGTACGGGTTTGGAGTACCTTGCTGCTGAAGGCCGCCCGCCCCGCCCGCCTTACAGATACCACGACAATAATAAGCAAGCAATATGACCTATCAGATGATCAACGGTTACAAATAGCTGCATGTTAGTCAGACAATCGAGACAAACAACTTATTTGTGTAGAATGATCATAACTAATTCCAGGTATGGTAGCCAAAAACATTTTTGCTGCGAGGCTGACCGTTTACATTCCGCTTGCTCACGTCCCGCTAAGCATTCAACGTAGAGAGAGTTTACCGTCATCTCTAAATGATTTTTTCCAAATAGTCTTAAGAAATTAAAATTAACAAAGAAGTTTCATCACTCTTGTCGATCAGAGTCGATCCATTCACAATAAGTTAGATATAAAATTTTTAATCTTAAAACTTGTCTACTGGCATCCAATCAATGGTCATAGTCCGTTTTTTTTTGTAAAAACATATTATTATATGTCAAATTTAATTATTACCATAACAACCCTTTACCATCCTAAGAGCACGCAGCACTCACAGACCCTAAGAACATCATATTAAGCCTACAAGTAATACTATCCTTCTGGAAGTAGTTATATTTCGACCTTTACTTTATATATATTTATTACTGGAATAACAAACAAATTGACGTCCAATCTGATGTACATGTCACCTATATGCATGAACAACACCATAGACATTACGTTGACATGTGATTCTCATGGTAACCCTTATGCCATTCTTGAGGACTGAAGGGTCCTCGGTATCCTGTAATTTCTTTGCCATACCTCGCCCTTTAAACGAAAACACAGTTAACAAAGCAAGTCGTTTGGCGCCTGCATTTAATTGAGGTGAAACAGAGACGATTTTGTTCAAGTCTACTTTTACTTTGCTACGAGTACAATCTGCTTCTCATGCACCGACGTATGATTTTTTCTTCTTGTCTATTTTAATGATGTACCATTGATAAGAAAGAGTGGTAACATACACTCCGTTATCACTTATAAAAAAATAATTAATAAGAAGCTGATAATTAATTTTAAAGCAAAAATGACGAGAATATTAAAATGTCACGTGTATGTACGTGATTTAAGTTTATCAAATTTACGAAATAAACGCGTGTGATAAATCACGCCATCGACATCAATCATGGATCGTAATTACTTGACAACAATTAATCGTATTTTTTTAATAATTTCTAAATGCATTGGTCAATATTTCATTTAGTTAAACTGCAGAATATTAAGGTTCTTTTCTCTTACAGTTCCAGTGAACAGTTACAGTTATCTTATGCAATTAATTTGTTGCAACATTAAAATTAGTAGGAAAAGATATGAAAAGCAACTGTTTGGTTGCATGTTACATAAAGATTTATAGAACAGTCCCTAAAAAAAGTTCAAAATCTCATGAGACTCTCAAAAAACAAGCGTAATTTCTGAAATTTAGCGCTACGATAAGAAGAATTTTTTATTTATTACTTAGGAATTAAACATTTTATGACTAAGTAAGGCATACTTAGTCATGAAATGTTTAATTCCTTTGCGTATTGCCACAATATTACATAATAACATAATATTACATAGTACTACTGCTTTCCACATTATAATTTCAATAAAATGACGTGACTAATACTGATGATACCCATATTTCTCCATATTCGTAGAGGTGGTTTTATATGACGAATTACCATAACAATATTGAATACCGACAATAATTCCTTGTAATTATATTGTTGTTATAATGTAACATTTAATAATACAAAAATTGTGAAACTACAGTAGGTATAATGGTATATATCAAATATACAATTTTCTTGTAATAATTGTGTAACAATTGTAAATAGTCTTAATTTATCTTTCCGTAACATATGCATATTATTTATCATTTTACTCTTATGAACTCTTTAAAGAATTACATATTGAAAATTTGTATATTATAGTTAATGATTTATACAATGTTGTATGTCATTACTTCGTTAGTTTAGTTTAATAATGACTAAAAAAAGGATTTATAATAATCCGTAATCACCAAGACAAGGGTTTATGCAACTGAATAAATTTCTATAATGGTAAAATATTTTGAATTCTATTAACCAATTTTAGTACTAAATATCAGTAACATTACTAAAGATTAATATTACTAAGTATTTGATTATACTCATACTTCATTACTCAATATCAATAAAATAATATATTATGAAAATTCTCATACTTATTGTATGGAATATTGTTTCAGATCCGGAGATGTTTCCCTTCTATTGTGTATTATTTCCTTGAGATTTCATTATTGATTTAGTAGTTTTGTATGTGTGTATATTATAAGATTTATACATCGATATTAATAATATATTTCCAATAGCAAAACTCTTGTCGGTGCTTAGCCAGCATCGACAAAAGAGTTTTGCTATTGTTCGTTAAAAAATATCAATTTTTTTTTATAAATGGAGTAATTTTTTAGAAAGATAATTACTGTTATATATTTGTGTATAATAAACTACGAACGACAGTGGATTACAAATAGAATGAGATGACTTATACGTAAAAGCTACATCTATTTTCCTGTTAAATAAGCTATAAAAACCTCAAACCATATGCAATTTTGTACCTATATATATATATATTGTTAAAAATGTTTATAAACACAATACTACTAGTATTTGTGCTTATAAACCTAATATCAAAAATACGCATTTGCGTTCCGTCATAAAAATACAATAAAATCTATGCGGCTCGCATATAACACATGTGGTGAATTTAATTTTATGTTACGATAAAGTACGAGTATATATTATCCACAAGACAACCATCAATAGTCCGCTGTTTTATCAAAATAAACGAAAACAAAAAACTACATTAATAAACTGAAATTGAGCCATTCGCCTTCTCATTCGAGTAAATAGCCTTATTAAGTGAAAAAATTTTAGGTACAAATAAATATATTTTTTTAAATGTGTAAAATTTTCAAGTCGGTTTCATCTGATTATATTAAAGAATATCTATGTAATAATAAATGATAATGAAATTTTATTACCTAAGACTGGTCCAACGATGAACATGTATGCAAACATTATTAGTATTATCTGCATACGTTTCTTCTCTTTCCGCGGTTTGAATGCAACATTTACAGTAGCCACTAAATCCTGTGCCGAGAACACTGATAATATACTATTATTTTCACCCTCGATTTTCTTTTTGTTCTTTTCTTTCAGTCTTAAAACGATATAAACAAAGCCGGTTAAATAGAATGCGCAAGCAACTGTAAACACACCGTAATACCCGAAACGCTTAGTCATAATTCCACTAAGAGCGAGCCCTATAGGCCTGCTTAGCGTTAAAATTGATGTTATTATCCCTAAACGGTAAGTCCGTTCAGCATCACTTGTGATATCTGTGATGTAACTGTAAACAGCCATTGTCATTGCCACTCGTCCACCAGCTAAAGCTGGAGGCAATCCTTCGATGAGGGCGGTCTCGTTTAAACCTATCTGCAGGAAGAACACTGTCGTCAGTATGATACCAATAACCGATATCAGTTTCCCAAGTATCGGCAGTACTAAAAATGCCTTTCTATTCCCTGTGCGATCACTCCACGCGCCAACAAAAAGTGTCAATATTCCAGGTAAAGCAGTTTGTAATGGAAAACTCCAGGCAGTCATCCCTGCAACCATGGTTTGTACTTTTCTCTCTTGTTCTGTATAATTGTGTGTATGTCCTTCCATTATATGTGTGCATGTTACCTCGTCGTATTGTAAATTCACGAGACATGATTTCTCAAGACACAAATTTTGCACAGCTAACCCAGCAAGTACACTAGGTAGTACGTAACAAATAACAAATGGCTCTACCGTTATTTTCGATCTAAACGCCCAAGATTCTTTGATAAATTTCTTTATCCGATTGCTGAACTTCGTTTCAGCTTTCGCTATATCAGATCCGTACGTTTTGTTGCACTTACATGGTTCCACATTTACGATCTTTTCTCCGAGTCCTTCAACCCGCAACGTCATGTTGAGAACGTTTTTTCACTATATTGTTCATTTGATTTTAACATTCAACAAACATATTATTGTTATCGCTGTAAAATATTAGAGAATATTTATTTATAATTTTTATATTCAAAATATATCACAGGATTGCATTCAGGCCGCTCTAAAGTTTAGCGACGTGCGAAGAGTTGCGCGTGCGTCGATCGATTGCGATGGCGGAGAAGGAAACGGGCGTCTCAGTCAACTTTTGCTCTTGCACTGATTATCAGCTGGTTGTTGTGGTACTTTAATTTGTAGTTTACCATTGTTATCACGTGGGCATGCTGGGCGCCCGATCAAATGTAAGAACTTAAATTAAAATTCGTCATTAACCCATACCGATATGACGTATGCTTAGTTTTAATTCTTGATATTCTAGAATTGATGTAAATATTTCTATTTGCTTTTATGTGCTAACTAAAAATTAAGTTAATATTTTATAATTTTGATACGGTTGAAACGAATAAAATATTTTTTAATGAATACAATTAAAATTTCTAATGCCATGACTACATTAATGTTATCGATACAGTAATTAGACCTACCTTAGAGTTTTGTTTATGCATGTTATTTATAATATTATTATGGCAAATTAATGCAATTATATTGTATATATAATATACTAAATTAATGAAGGCATCGTAAAAATACTCAATGTTAAATATATGTAAACAACTATTCAGTAGGGTTTAATTATAAAAAAACCAACAATTTCAAAATAACTTCATAACTTCGTACATTTTTTTAGGTTTGTATAGAATTACATTAGGCAACTAAACAAATAAAATTACATTCAAAAGAAAAGATTATTTTGTCTCTTACTGGAAGATTTTCAACTGAGTAGTGCCTATCGTTTCCATACTGGTAAAGCCAGTGTTAGAGGTATCACACCTCTAATAAACTTAGAATGAAAAAAAAACTATTTCTAACTGAACGATTGTAACTATTTATTCCTAATTAATGACTGATTTCTGCAATAATGTCTATCTCAGCTTAGGTCGGGTCAAAACAGAACTAAATATAAGATAAATATTGTTTCTATTACCCAATCAATAATATAATAATAATAATAATATATTTATTCATTTTTACACAATATCACTAATTTATAGGCCGTAACATCTGTGCTAGGGAATCCCTGTGTTACAGATGTTATATACCTATTTGCATTCAATATGTAAGTAGTTAAAAACCTTTTTTTGCTATTTATATTTTAATAATTAACGCTAAATGAGTTATAGAGGAATTCACCAGGATTAATCCAATCTGGTTTTCTCTGCAAATTGGTTGGATGTCATCCTGGCCACTATTCCCCATTTTATAACAATCCCCTTTCTCCGATAATTATAAGTACACTCACCAAATATAAGTGGCATCTTGAGTGGCTTCTCATCGTATCTTGACTCGTCGATACTATGCCACCAACTTCCCCACGGCAGATATGGTTTTCGATACAAACTCATCTGTCGTGGTAAACTTGACAAAAGCAAACAAAGAAAATTTTTGTTACAATAAAATTATTACAAGCATTTTTAAATTCAGCTCTTACATTCACTATGTAGTTCCATCCACGAAGACTAAGCAAGAGCCTAGACTAAAAGTTTACTCTCGTGTGTATTTTGTCAGTTCTATACCTGGGTCGTTTTTTTAGAACAAATCTTGTTAATAACTAATAAGGCATAAGATCTATATACTACATAATAACAAACTACAACCAAATATTATATGGACATTGTTCACAATAATAGCAACATTATGTCACGTAATATACCTAAATGCGTCCCAATTGTTCACATGTCGGTCAACGGGTCAAAGAAAAGTTGCGCAATCTGAATTGGTCGCCATTGACACTGATCATAATTTGAAGAATGTGTGTGCATAATCAAATGCATTATTTATTTCAAGGTCCATTATAGGAGATCTAAATTGGACAATAAAATTGAACATACAAGCGATAGAGACTTTTTAAAACGTAAGTGTCTCAGTTCTCATCTGTCGGGAGTAAGCCTAGCAGGTTCCTTTAGCAGTGGTCTGTCGATGACTTCAGACTTCACAGTGCTTTTCGTATATAGAGAATGGTTGCTGCTTACCACCAGGTAAGCATCAATATCTTTGCCAGTATATTATTTCAGTTACATAAATAAAACTCTACGTTCAACAAAATGGAAAAGTTAGTATTGGATGGATGGGTCATAATTATTTGTTATTCAATTATACTTAAAACACCAATATTGCTTAATTAATACCTTAATACATATATGTAAACTTCAGAACTTCTGTCAATTTCAGGAAGGTACTTTATTTCAGTCTCATAGGATATATATTGTGTCAATATGGGTATACAAATACTAAAATATATGAGTGCACGGACTAAGTCATGGCAGGTCACTAATAAAAAAACAATAACAATACAGAGAGGAATGTAACCTGTTTTACATGGCATATAAATAAATCTGAAATCTGAACTGTCATTTTTATACAGGATAAACTTTGTAAAAACAGAACAAACAAACCCGTTCAAGTATATGTTGTTCATGGGAAAAGAGATAAACAAAATTGTTAAAAATAATTCATTATTATAAAACACTTGACACCAATTTGTACTATATTATATAATCTGTATTATATTATACAATATTTACTTGTCACCTCACTAGGTGACAAGTAAAGTAGTGGAAACTAATAAATGGGTAGAACTAGATATATAACATTGCATAGTAGCGCTTTAGGAACGAATAGTTATATTGAACGACGATGACGATAATATAACTACTACCATAGTACTTTTCATATAAATAAAAAAAAGGATGTAATCAGCCATTTATATCATTTTAAAATATACTCTTAATAATTAATAATTTTATTATACTCAGCCATACTTAAGTACCTATACTTATATTATATTTATTTAGTCACTTCCCACAACTTTTTATAGCGAAAAAACTTGCTCCAACAGCATTATTACCAGTTATTACTAATGTATTGTAATTTATTCATTAAAGTATTGAATAGAGAGATTTCATAGAGGCAATTTATAATAAAATGTTTAATACATAGGTGATATATATATACAAATTTAAATAAATATTGTATTATGTGTAATAAAATCAATGGTTACAGGTGGCACAATGCTGTGATATCAATATTTTATCATGTAATATAATATATATAGGTATATGAACTATTATTTTAAATTTTTGATATATTCTTGAGATAAGACAATATTTAACGTAGTTATTAGATATTGCAATATGGCAGAGGCTGATTACCTAGATGCCATGACGTATAGTTATAGTACGACAACTACTAGACGGCGCTGTCAAGAAATTAAATTGTGTTCCCTGTATTCTTGTTACGTTGAATCTTACTTCAAAAATGTTGTATTTCCCATGTTTATTTGAATGTAATAAATTTCTCTCCTCGCGGAAATTGATTATTTTCAACTCCAGGGGTTATTATTTGATTTGAATGTTAATATTATTTTATGTCTTCTGTATTAGGTATATGTCACTGAAGTATATTATGAGAAATATTATTGATGAACTGTTTTTTAGTTTATTTACTAAATTCGTCGTAATTACTTAAATCTAATGTCTATTATGAGTACATGCAATAAAGAAACGAAATAAAAATTCTTTATTGTTCTCCTCACAGAAATACCAAATAAAAACAATATAGTACAAATATATAAATATGTATATATGTAACAATGATTAAGATAAAGAGGCAACAATACACACATAAACCTAGGTCCTTCCTAAAATAGATTTGAATCTAGTCGAGGTGTAACAATAATAAAGAACATAGTGAGAAGTGATGTTAAAATAACTATATATTATCCATATAACATATAACTATAACATAGGTACATACATACATACATAAATACAAAATACATACAATAAGAAAAATTATGTTATTTTTCGAATAAATACTGATAATTCGTTTCAAAGACGACAGCCAGGACACTCATTAACGTAGTGCTATCTATGTCTTAGTGTCTTTAACAAGAGAAAACCATATCTTGAAGTCAAGTCAATTCAAGTCTATTAAGTCGGTGCTATCATTGTATATAATCACTGTTAAATTACCTTATTTATATTCCTACTAACTGTTACGCTTATAGTTATTTTATTAATAATATTTGAAAAAAAATGTTTATACACCAAATACTTACCCATACATTATTATAAGACAATAGTAACAGAGTAAATTGGAAGATTATGAAATTTCACGCGAAGCAAAATGGAATAAAAACATTTGGGTAAAACATACAAATTCCTACATAAATAAACGTTTATAACAGCAACTTACGCCTACCAGACTTTGAAATTACTTCTGCCTCCTTTCAAAAGTTTGATTAAGTAGATATAATATTTTTTTGGCAATTAAAAACATTAATTGGCCACTCGTTAAAATATATACGCAAATATTTATTGTTTCAAAAACTATATTTTTAACTAATAATAATAGAGTAACAACTCTATTATTATTAGTTATTTAAATGCGCCTGACAAATACGCCGCGCAATCATTTGTTTTATTAAAACAATGCTCAGACGAATTCAATAGGAATGTGTTTAATTGTAAACAAAATGGAACTTGATGATCGAAAAAAAAAACGCTGAATGTAACAGACAATGCAGTGACAATACGTCACGCAAAATTGGAGGACAATAGTTGGAATAGTTGTGGCCTATCCCATTCAATTTGAATCAGATTCCTAAATAATCACGTACTGCTTTACAGACACCTTGATTTTTATTTTGTGGATCAATGCATTTGTTATGGCGTGGGTTGTACCCGTAATTCAATAACCTATTAGAGTATAGTCAGTCGAATCATATGCGTCTACTATGTCAGGGCTGTACTTTATCTGTGTACCTACACATATATTATCTATGTAAATTAGCTAGGTACACAAGTAGGTATACACCTTTTTAATTTATGCTTAATTTCAACTAAAGCTAACAACTATCTTCAAATTAGATGAGCATTAAATTATGACCGTATTGTTTTCGTATGTCGCGTGAAATGACCCATTCATAACAAAAAACCACAAATAGTTTCATACAAATATTAATCGACTTCATTATTTGATTGTTTTATGCATACTATCCTTTTATTCACATTATAGTTACCTAATGTCCGAAGCTCACGAAATAGATATCGCAGACGAATATAGTCACGGATAACGTAATTAACCTTTTCTGTAATGTTTTGTGCCATACTCTTTTTTGGTTATAATGTCGTCACTTATAATTATATCAAAACGATAAGGTTATATAAATCAGTGAAAAGAACAGTGTAAGGAAAAGTCGAAAATAGCATTATACGTTCCTAATCGTAGTTATTCGTTTCTGCCACAAAAAAAAGTTTATCTATGTTTTTACAAATATTTTATAATGACTACACTTTTTAGACCAGTTCCTAGCAATAGACCACTACTACAGGGAACATGGGCAATGTACTTAGAAAAAGATTAAGCAAGCGCGTAGACAGATTTCAATAATAATCCTCCAACTTTAAGGAAAAGCAACGTGTTAAACGTCTGAATACCACAAAGTGTTCACTGACCTGACTCCATCCTCACTTATCATCTTGCACTAGTGCCCAGCCAGCGCATACCGTAACGTTGGCGAATGTCGCATTCCATATTCATCCAATAAAAATGAGGATTTTTACCAATCTCGTACTCTTTCTATCAATATTAAAATCAGGTTTTAGTTTTGGCAGAACATTTTAAATTTACCATTGCGTTGTAAATAAAACGCAAATGCCTGTCTATAAAAACAAATTTTGCAACTTTTCTCTCGTGAATTGCGAAACTAGATAGCTTCTGCTCCCACGGGCGTTCAAATAAAAAACTGTGCACGAAAATTCAAGTATTCTGTGTTGAAAATCGGTCATCACTTTTCTTTTATGAATTTATATCTAAAATATAAATAATATTTATGACTACCTGAACTCATGACTTTTTATCTATCTGTATGGAATTAAAGAAACGTAGAAGTTTATATAACATAACAACAACGAATCTTGGATACGATTTTCAATAATATTACAATACATTATTGAAAGCCATGATTATTTTAAATTCGGTATTGAGATTAGGGTACACAAACGCACAAAGAAGCATTGTTATATACTTATTTAATACTAGCTGTTCCCGCGACTTCATCCGCGTGCTATTTAACTTTATTTTTCTAAAATAAAAGTAGCCTAAGTTACTCCTTATTACATCAGCTACCTGCCAAAAAAAGTTCCGTCAAAATAGGTCGAGCCATTTCTGAGATTAGCCGGAACAAACTGACAGACAGACAAAAATTGTAAAAAATCTTATTTTGTTATATATACCGTATTTATATTCATAGGCTTGTAGTAAAAATGGTTATTTCAATATTAGAAACAAACACTCCAATTTTATTTATATTTATAGATATAGATTGTTGTATATCTTTCAAGTATAGACAGCAATCAAGTATATTTATTTTATTGTACCTAGGTACATAGATATATATTATAAAATTAGTACTTATAAATGAATTAAATACATGCCATTTTCATTTATATCCAATAATGTATACAAGTAAAAAATAAGTGTACTAAATAAAGCCTCTTCAAAATTTGACATAAGTTTGGAAAGACAAATTAAAGTTCGAATAGGTATCATTCGGATGCTAAAATAATTCAACAATATGTATGTAGTATGTAGGTCCCTAGATTACTGGTGTTCCTGTAAATTTTTCAAAGTTATTGGGAATTGCATAATTTGCATATTTTGAGAACATTTTTAGTATTATAAGTATTTTTTTTTATCTGCCGTATGTACCTATGTGCACATAATTGTGCAGAAATTAGTAGGGTCTTGTAGAATAAAAAAAATCTAAATGCTACTATATAGCTAGCCAGCTATATACATATATCAAACTTGTATCCTAATGTGCTATTAACTCATGTATACAACTGAACATTAAACTAATTGACAAAAATAGAATGGTAACTGTTATACCTACTTAAAAAAAGTAGGCACAGTTACAATCATAATTAAACGATAATTTACCATGTTGAATGTGATAAATATGACCTTTAAAATATTTTTAAATAGATCGTCGTAGCTCAGCGGTCTAATAACCCGATTTATAGGAAGGTCATAAGTTCAAATCTGGCTGATACCATAAAATTTTGTACGTTAATTTTCTGACTGACTCTCCGGTGATGGAAACAACAATAACAAACACAATGAATCCGGAATCGGCTGAAGATTCGTCCGCTGATTGCGTTCACCATTTAGTCAACATTGTATAATGCGTCTGACTAAAGACATACTTGTTATTAAAATATTCTTATTTATGATGGCCGTAGCCTAAGTAAATAAGTAGACATTACAAGCACCTTTATTACTTTGAGTCTACTATCTTTTTTCCAACTTTTTCTTATGCATTCCATCATAGACCGTGGTACGCTTCATGTGTTGCCAAAGCACGAGATGTTATGATTTCGTAACCTGTAATTTCGCTGCCATAGAACTCTTAAAGCGAGACACATGATTCTATTTGCGGTATATTGCATCAGGTTTTTCCAAGATTTAATTATTCAAGTTCCCCCCAACCCTGGCCGTTGCACTGTTCTGTATGCACCTTATTCACTTAATACGAAACTGTAGTACAACATGGCGTCGTCTACATTAAGCATTCTTCACTAGCTTTATGCTAAATATCATGTTAATTCGCAATCAACTTCTGTATTGCTTTTAAACAATTTTATTCCGTAGCAAACAGGTTATTTATTTTAGTGTGTTTTGTATCAATACAAATGCTTTTATGTGTGCACCCTTTCGACATGTTTATACTACGTAACCTGCGAAACATACAGTATGCATTGAACTTACACGTCGATATAGTACGTAATGTTCAATTTTAACTTTACCTCAAAGCAAAACAGAATAATAGTGGAGTTTATTACGAGATATCCATGAATTTTATAATTGCTGTGGTATCTGTACGTGTTAGATTCCATCGTGTATCGCATTATACGAGATGTCGGTGTATTTTTTAGTAAACAAGTTTTATAAAATAGTTTAAGGCATTCGATGTTATTCGTGATGGTGATCAGCCGTGTTTTGTGTTATTATGCAGATATTGAATTGAGTATTCTTATTTTCAATTAATTTATTGTTTGTTAAATCCAAAAACATGGATAAACCTAAAGACCAGACAAATGGTGAAGTTGAACTTCAAACTGTTAAAGATAGTGATGTGAGAGTGAACGGTTTAAATAAAAAACAAAAAGAAAAACTAAGTTTCGTTGCAATATTTAACAATTTTAGAAACTTTTTCACTGTTGAACCATATTTGTTATGTTACGTATTACCCCTTTCAATACAATATTTGGGTGTTCAAAAGTTTAACACAGAGAAAGCGTGTCGTACAGATCTGAACTACAGTCAAACTATTTGTGACATAATACAAACAGGAGAAGGAAATGATAACATGACCGAACTAGCTCTAAGTCGAACTTCACAAATTGCTGCGGATATATTGACATGGAAAGAACCCCTTCAGAAATTCATTCCAGCAGTTTTAATGCTTAATATTGGTGCATGGAGTGACAGAACCGGGAATAGAAAAACCTTGATGCTTGTACCCATTTTTGGAGAAATGTTATCAACTGCTGGATTAATGGTTGCAACATATTACTTTACTCAATGGCCCTTATGGGTTACAGGACTAATAGACGTAATTACTTCCTCGTGTACCGGTGGATTTTCTGTTGCTCTGGCGGGCTGTTTTAGCTATGTAGCAGATGTAACAACTCAGGATACACGCACGTTTAGAATGGGAGTTATGGCTGTTATAGTCACTCTTGGTATTCCAGTGGGATCATCAGTAGGTGGCATATTAACCGAAGAATTAGGGTATTATGGTGTATTTGGACTCGTGCTGGCCATGTATGCTTTTGGATTCTTTTATACACTATTTAAAATACATGATGTAAAACCTATTAAACAAGAAGGGACTCTTGGGAAGAAAATAATAAATTTTATACACCCTAGGAATTTGTGGGCTACTTTATCTTTGATTGTTTTGTCTCGAGGGAAACTACTGCTTCGGATATTACTAGTTATTTGGGCTCATATTTTAATAATGGGTCCAGTTGTAGGTATGTATTTCCCTTTATTAGAATTATTACATATTATATTTACTTATAAACTAAACTAGTATTGATTATTTACACATTTGATATATCAAAATACTTACCGACATTCCCTTTGTTCACCTTTTTGACTGAATTTTATTCAGAATTATAAGAGCTAGACTATTTTAAAAATATGGTGCCACACGAATCAAAGTCGAGGTACCAATACTATGAAATACTATGATACTAATCATTTTTAGTAACCACATCAAGTCATCAATAGTAGTTTTATATAAGTTAATAAATGTTTTAGGTGAAGGCGCAGTATTTTATTATTACACACTAATTCGTTATAAAATGGAAGTGGTGGAGTTTAGTCTCTTTACCACCTATACAGTACTTATAGGAACTGCAGGTGAGTTCTCTACTATTTTGTTTTTTGATAATTGTTATAATTATATGATTATATAATTTTACAACTTTATCCTATGTGCCGTTGTAGCACCTTACACTAAAAAAAATTGACTAAACTTTAATAATATGCAATAAAAGATTGATTAGATTCGTCTTTACTGAAATACACTGACTAAATTAAATTTCCTTTGAAATTTTGGTTAATAGAAATATTAACCAAAATTTTGTTGTTTATTACAAAAGTTTTGTTATTTCTAGAGTACATGACTCAGATTTTATTTATTTTTCTCATTGTAACCAAATAGTACTTTCGTCCTCCATCCATATATGGATTTAGGATAGCACTTTTTATCCCAGTCGCCCATGGTGACTTGGAGAAGTTGGGGTAGTGTAGGTGGTCTACATGTAGGTAATAAGATTGTAACAAGCCGATGTCTATACATTATAGATAAAAGAAACTAATACACACTGATGTTTATTAATATAATAGAAAAAAACACATTTTATCATTTTTATTTATCTATGTATAGTTTATATGTTAGTATATATATAGTTACATGTTTCATTCATTGAATGAAATTTAATGCAGTTTTCCTCAAGGCGTATTATTAGAGTTCGAAGGTAACATGGCATCACTTACTTAATATAGCCTCCCTTTTATTACAGAAAAATGTACCGAGAGAAGCACGGGCAGGTTTTTAGTAAATAATATAATTATTTACAGGTACCGCAATAGCAGTGTTGCTATTTAGCAAAACATTGAAATTTCATGACTCCATACTTGGTTTAATTGCAACGACGTGTAAAGTGTTGGGATCCATTGTGTATGCTTTTGCGCCCAATAAGACGTGGCTGTATGCTGCCCCTGTGTTCGATATCTTTGGTAACTCAGGAGTAACGGCTATTAGATCTCTGGGCACAAAGGTCGTAGATCAAGATAGTATTGGTAAGTCTATCCTAGAAGTATTTTTTTATATACTAAGCCGATAAAGCCGGGCAATTGACGCCCGTGATATCACGAATGGTTAGAATTCCAGAAAAGTAAGGTGACATGCCTCTGTATCTTGTAAAAATACACATCATATCTCATCCTTCAACAGAAAGCTAACTTACAGAGTAAATAAGTGAAATTAAAATAAGTGAGTCACGCAGAAAGACTTTGTCTTCCTTTCATCAACATCGTTACAATATTTTTCATTCATAAATAGTTTTTCTTTTGCTCTTATTGTTTTTGTTGGAGAGGGGAGGAAGTTATTTGTTAGTATTTGGAACTAATAACCTTTTTTGGTACATTGCTAGCAAAGTACCATGTCACTCACTAAGCCAGCATATATGATGCTGGCTTGGTGAGTGAAATAAAAAAATAATACGTGGTTATCTATAACGTAAAAATCTTTATTTTTTTTTCTAAGTATTAATGTAATAAATTATAGTCATTTTAACAAGATTGTATAGAATTGTATTATAGAATTATGTACAAGCATAAGTTTATTTTATCTGAATACGTAAACTTCTTACGGAAATTGAAAATTATATCTCAGATATATTTATTACTTCAAGGTTATAACAACAAATCCCAGTGATGTAACCAAATTACAATAATTACTATGAATACTTGTATCAATCAAATACCAACCGCAAACATAATGAAGAATTTTACATAAAAAAAATAGGTATTTCGTGCATAAATCCGGTTTGAATTTACGTGTATATATGTCTGAGTGGTGACGGAAGAAGAGTATTTTTTATAAAACTACTAGCTGACCCCACAAACTTTGTTTTGCCATATAAATTGAAATCGCTACTAAAATGGATTGATAGTAGAAGGGTTGAAATTTGGGGTTGCATGTATATTTTCAATTTAAAAAATAATAGTCTTAAAATAATAAATAATTGTTAGGATTGGACAACCCTTATCACTTAGAGGTATGAAAAGTAAATAATAACCTATTTTCAGACCTACTGATTATGCATATAAAATTTCGGAGTAGTATGGTAACTAACATTGTGACATGAGAATTTTATATATAAGATAGACTTACACAATACACTTACGATTTAAATGATATGCTAAGTACTAAATATAACATCTCCCTCATCACCCTCATCAAACGTTGCCATTCCGGACAACTATGCAGTCTACATGCTCTGTAATTTAACTGCAGCATGTCATTCCTCAACTGAAACACATCTTACAAAGCAAGCTGATTGGCGGCTGATTATGACTATGAACGATATGAATATGAAAGATATGACTGAGGTTCTCATGCTGAGGACTTTTTACAAAGTCTACCTCAGTAAAATGCATCATCACAACTTTTGACCCAAGTTTTGAAACCCTAAACCTCAAGTTTTATCTATCTCTAAATAATATTAAGCAAATTCGCTATATGCGTTTACCTATTTCTATGTTTATTTCTACTATAGTACGCAATGGATTTTGGTATGATATTCACAATCATTATTGTTAACGAATATTTCCATAATGTTTATCTGTATACATACAACACATGCATACGTGTCGGTTATATAATATACACTATGTACAATAATATATAATGTTATAATGAACCGACATTATATATTTTTGTATATACAATTATTTTGTACCTACTTGAGCTTGCCACATAAATGCCTAAACAGATTTGAATGAAATTGTATATATAAATATATAAATTGAGTTCCTGGATAGTTTGAAAATCAGACTAGGTTGATGGCTCTACTTTTTACTCTATACAGATAGTACATAATACAAGACTATGTAATCACGAAGACATAGAATTCCTAATATTCAATTAATTGAATATTAAATTCATTGCCGGTAAACAAACAACTGTGATAATACTCATATTAAAAGTAAACTAAAGGTCACTTAAAATATGTTGTTTTTTTTTATCAGCAGCTTTTTATAATAACCGGACCCGTCGTCGCGATGAGTCTCATAATGACCTCAAAGCAGTGGTCACAACTTAACTTCATATTTTAAAAAAATGCTAATACCAAGGCAAATAGATACATAAATAATTAAAGGTAGACGCAATATACGCAATCAAATAGTATTCGATACCAATTAAATGTAACACTTTCATTATGCTCTTTATTACCGCATCTTCGAATACGTCTAATCTTGTAGATTACCTACCATCTATTGACGGTAATAAAATGCGGGAGTACGATGTTATCGTTATTATAGAAGTAATTAATAAAAATTATAGGTGACGTATTGAAAATATTCAAAAATTTAATATAAGAAAGCCAAGAAAGTATACTACTAAGGTTCACCCCTATATAAGAAAGTTTCTGCGTAATTCTTCCAGCCAATATTTAAGTCAAATAATAACAAATAAGAAACAAGCAAATAACTGTTGTACAACTAACAGTAATGGATTTTTTTATATTTTTTTCAGGCAAGATGTGTTCCCTGATTGGATTTATTGATGCTATTGTACCCGTAGTTGCAATTCCAATCTACACTCAGTTATGGTCAAATACATTAGCCACATTTCCGGGTGCTATTTACTTATTGGGTGCTATTTTAACCGTTCCCGACTTCTTTGTATTTGCGTAAGTATTACGATTAATTTTATTTTAGGCTTTCGTCTGAAAAAAATAAAAGCACTTAAATTTCAGTACCGATTTAGTATACTGCCTTACTATCTCTGACCTGTGGCCACAGATTAGTATCTCGCCCGAAATAAAACTTTGGGTTCATAAATAGAATTCATTGTATTGGTCGGTGTTTTCTTAGTAAATTCTGTATAGTATTTAAGTATTTATATCAGTTGATTATTATCCATAGTACGTGATGATGGCTTCAACAGATTGCGGGGTGTAGAAGTGATGGAATTTGCTTAGTTGAATATATATTTAAAAAAAAAATTTAATGTATGTACAAAATGTACGTTGCCTCGACTGATTACAATTTTGAAAGTCCTATGCTGTGTCTAGAGAATTCAAAAGGATGGGTGTGCTCTACCTTCGGTGTTGCGTTTTGTTGTTGTTTTACTGTACGCAACAATACATAATACAGTGCATTAAGTTTACGACAAGATGGCACTGTATGAATTGTCATGAGTAACTATTTTATTTAGTATTCATACCATGACAAACATAAGTAAACAGTATTGAAAAAAAAACAGAATTATAAAAAAGCATAAGCATTACTTTTCAAATTTATCTATTAGATGTTTTTTATTAAAAAATGCATCTCAATATGGTACAACACTGTACATATAATCAACAATAGAAGTTTCAATATGCAATCATTAGCTACGTAACTGCTTTGGTATTTCCCACTAATTAAAATAATGTGAGTTTTGTTATTTCTAAAACAAAATCATAATTATCCGCTAATAATTTTATAAATAGCATTTACATATTTTTATTTAATATTTTTGTCTTTACTTATTTTTTTATAATTAGTGTTATTTATCCCGTACATGAATAACTACTGCCATACATATTTGTCTTTTAAGTAATCGTTTAGTGACTAATAGGATTTCCACAATAAATTAACCGAAAAACTTCGGTTTATTAAAAGAAATTTCAAAATATCCAAGGACAGGTAATAGTTTGACATCTCGTTTTCAAATATATTTTTTTAATGTGTAACAATATAAAGTCAATTATGCAGGTATTACTTATTAGTTAATTACTCTAATTTCAGAACATTGTTCGTCATGCATAAAAAAGAAGATCAAAACGTTGTTGCAAATGCTGAAGTAAAAGAAAAGTATGCTTATGAAAATGACATCACTGCTCTCTAAAGGTTGAATATTTCAGGATGTAGTCAGCAAGAAATCAGTGTCATGAAATAAACTTTACTATTAAATGGTAGGAGTGCGTTTACATTTTTTTAAACCATGGAAATCTCAAACAGCCTTACAGGTTAACTCTAGAAAACTAGTAATTCAATCATTAATTAATTGCAAACGCAAAAGTATTTTAGAACAACGACGACAAAACGATTACGATAAAAAAAATTTAGATAAAACTCCGCCTTTAAGTTTTATTTCTAAGTATTGAGTAAAACCAAGCTGTGAAGTCTAAAAAATAGACATTTTCTAATATACATATTATTACTAAATCGCGGTAGTATATGTTACATGTATCTCTGTTTCTAATGTGCCAAAAATACAAATACATATATATACCTAATGACAGTTCCAAATATGACGCCAGAATCAGAATATGACTATTCAAAAGTGCTTGGAAATAAACATTACTAAAAATATTGTTTATTTATCTATTCCTTATACATTATAAATTATTTTCAAATGCCATGAGTTTCATTACAGTAATTGTAATACTAAGTATTAGTTTTAATTATCATAAAACGTTTATACCTGTAGTCAATGTATTAAATAAATGATTATATTTTCATGTTTTTACTTCATGTAAATTTGTGTCTTACCTAATTGTCTAAAATTGTTAACCAGATGGAAATATTTCATGAATTTATTTCGCAACAAAAACGTATCTCGTTAATTTTATACGGAATAACTTTCTTTACTTCATCATAATTACATAGGATAAAACAAAGTCGTTGTCGCTGTCTGTCCGTCCCTATAAATGCTTAAATCTTTAAAACTACGCAACGGATTTTGAAGAGGTTTTTTAATAGATAGAGTGATTCAAGAGGAAAGTTTATATATATATAATACATGTACACCCGTGCGAAGCCGGGGCGAGTAGCTAGTACGTAATATTTTTGTACAATTAAATGTCATTAAATTTGATATCGTATTTATTGCAAGTAATGAACTTGCAATAAATGCAATAAATACGAAGCAAAATCACTTTTACCTATTGAAAAATAAGACATAGTAAATTATAAATCCTAGTGGTGTCATCATTATTTCTACTTATTGTTCTATTCTATGATTTTACACCTGAGACCCAGGATTTAACCAGTCATCCAAAGGAGATTTATAAATCTACATATTTTATCTAATACAGATTATGATATGAATACATATAAATTGTTCAAGATTTATCTTAGACGGCGTCCTATAATAAAATTCACTAGTCATAAGCTTTACAATTTCGTGGGAGTTAAATTACTATTAATAATAATTGCACAATCAACTCGTGTACTTTTGAATGATGTGAATTCGCATATTAATTGTAAATTATACATGATACTCCATTCCATATGTATCATATTGCTGAGAAATATATACTTAATACTAAATATACATAAAATCATATATAAACGATTATTGAATTGCATTGAGGTATTATGTACTTGTGTACATATTAGAAGTAAGACTAAGTAACATTATAGACTATACTACATTCATCCTAATATTGAAAGTATCTGTCTATATCTCCATTTGTTCCTTCTCACAACCAAATGGCTGGACAGATCTTAATTAACTATGGCGTGAAATTGAAGTATATCCCACAGACATAGGTTATCTTTTATTTAAAAAGAGGACCATGTTCAGGTAACAAATTTTGAATACAAATCTTGTACGCCGCAAGCTTTAGTAATAGGATTATAATAGTCTAATAAGGCGAAAAAATATAATCATAATTAAATTAAATTAATAATAAAAATATAAATTTGAATATATGATCAGGTACGGTTGTTATATTTTTATATTTATCTAATTATAACATTATATCATATAGTCTACTAGTGTATATGAGTTAAAAGTAAAATATGTATATTTCTATTTTAAATGAATGCTTCTGTACTAACGCGTAGTAAATGCTTGAATTCTGCCAATTATAGTATTATATTTATAGAAAATAATATCTGTTTCACAATACATTGTTATAGTTTAGACAAGCAAGGTTCGTTATAATACCTCAATGCTCTTATTATTATACATAGTACCTAAGATACAAATTTCAATAGCGAAGATTATGTTCACACATGACAAGTTAGTGAATAGTGGACCTGCAAGGAATTTATATAAGGGTACAAATAGACCGAACGTTGAGTTCGATCATGACATGAATTTAGTTTCTTCAAGCAAGCAAATAACATGTGCATACGAGTTATATAAAACTCTACTACTTAATAAGTTGAATAATATAAAAAAAATACTTTTTAAACAATAATTACATTAATGATACCAATCGTAATTTTCGTAACAAGTATCAGATTTTTGATCTCCATATGTAATATTATATTGTAAGAGGTAGGAAAATATTTTCATCCTCTTGTAATTTCCTGTAACCTACGTATTATACAAACAAATATTTCATTGCGAAAATTCTGTATTATTTTTTACAAAGTTTAGGTCACAAAACATGATTTTAATTAGTGTATACAGAGTTGCTATTAATATGTAATATTAATTTATCTGTACCGTAAATAACCCTTAATGTAACTCCTACCATCACTCTGCCTACAGGCCGCCCTTGTTATAAAATTATAGCTTCTCGGTTACGAATTTTTGCTTCCTTTTCTTTTCTTCTTTACCCTGGCTACTAAAAATATGAAACAAATATTTATGCGGCTTCAAAGTAATCAAATTTGAATCTGATTTGATTTGAATGATTTGTTTGTCCATACAAATACTATCCCATGAATGATAAATGAATCGATAACAACAATAGGAACGTGTTAACAGTAGATTTCTCAGTGCCCGCAGACAAACACGGCAATGTTATTACGTCTCGACAAACATACGTGGTTGCTTTTGTTTGAAAAGGCTTGCTCACATATATCGTTTTAGGGATGATCTATAACAAAAATACAAGCTTTGCATATGGCTTTAGAGTAATTATCATTTCATCAAAAAGTTAGTGACTTTTAAATTCTAGATATATATTTTCATTTATAGAACTAGAATTTACAAAAATAAACTGTAAGTATCTGTTTTATAACAATCTTTGGCCTATTATTCACACAAAAAGATTGAACATGTTGAAGTGTCTTTTTACAACTAGCAGATATCAACAATCAATTAATTAAAAAATTAGAAATTATTAATATTAGAAAGTAATATTTATACGATTATGGATTAGTGCACCCGACTGCACTAATGGCATAATAAATCACATAACTCTAAGTAGAAACAAATATAAACAAATATCCAAAACAGAACAAACAAAAGACCTCATAAAATCATTAAATATTCTCTACTAAAGCGAGCGTAGATCGATATAAGCGCAAATGCAGAAGCAAAAAGAGTTGCTAAAATATGTTCATTTAAAAAAACTGTTATAGGAATATATATTATCCATTGCAATAGTGGAAAATGACTGAATGAACTCAAGTTAGTTAACCTGTAGTAGTGAAATGACTAGGAATTAAGCTCCAGGGGACTGTGTGGAAGTCGACATGATTGAGTACATTGTTAGCAATATAGTTACTAGTACCCATTGTAAACAACCCCCTCCCCTCTCCTATCTAGGTTTGCATCTCCATTAAGTATTCTCTTGTTTGCACCTAGAAACTTGTTCTGAATACTGAATAATGAACTAACAATCCTAATTGCTGATTATCTGCATTAGAATTCAAAATATGGCTTCAACATATTGTAATTTAATATCATTTAAGTAATTCATCTCAATAACTGTAATTAATATAATATAATAGTATTCTATACTCTAAAGCGCCTCCTAGAATATTATAGGCAAAGTAGATATTTAAGAAAAACTTGTATTACTTTACATAGGTACCTATTCAATAAAGTAACAACACTTTTGGAAAGTTATAAAGCCAAGAAATCTTTAGGAATTGAATTTGAGGCCCACATGATGCGGTATATAACAGTAACCGTTACCTATAGACATGAACACACACAAAGCACTGCGGACATCATGAGATAATCACTCATACCACCAAAGAATCATCTTTATGTATATAGGCGAAGATAAGGTTATAATATTTATATTAGCTGATGTCCAAGAATCGCTGTGCGCAGTAGGTCCTATTTTAAATATTGAATCCATGGAAACGAATGAATTACTAATTACAATTACAAAGTTACTTATATAATATGGGCAATACATCTGGCGTCTCGGCACAACCGATGACGACAGTTGGTCGACAAGATAGTGTAGAGTCGCGATCCTCAGCAGTGAGAAAACCATCAAGAAGAAGAAGTACAGTACAACAGTACAAGTACAGTTGTCGTAACTTTATAGTAATTAGTTTAGAAGTTAGAAGAAGTCTAGGACAAATATTGTAACATGAGAACCCCATGCAGACAAAGTCTAACTCATTCTCAGCTATTTCAGCCGTTAGACTGCTTATTGTGTTAGATGTGTTTCGTTTATAGATTGAGATAAGGCAGTGACATTTGTACATTGACACCTTAATCCTCAACAACGCATGAATGATACCACAAGCGTCACGTGAGTACGCAACGGTTACCACTTATTATCAGGTGGAATTTCGCCTATTTTGTCATAATTTCAGTTATATGAAAAAAATTAAAAACCTACATAAACATATCTTCCAAACGCAGCTTAATATTATATATCTTTAGCAATTCTAGGTATATGAATAACATATCACAAATTTTTTAATCTATACAAACATATCTTCCAAATGTTACTTAATATATATCTGTAGTCTATAATAACAATAGATAACTATGGAGAATTCGAAATAGGAAATGCCTGTCTAATAGTAACCGGTTCAAGCGTCATGCCTATAAAACAACCTTGAACCTGTTAAAATTCATGCCTACATCTACCTGTCGAGGTTCGGGATTTATGAGTTCCTCTAGTTTGTCTATTTATAAATGCAACAATTTCATCAAATACAATTTCTTCTACAATACAAATAATACTGTTCTTAAATAAGTTGTGTAGAACCCACAAGGGAGTATGGGTTAATCGTAAAAGATTTCTCTCATGAGGCAGAAAAATTAAAGTGCAAATTTTAGTTCATTAAAATTACATTGTTTATTGGAATTACCACACTATAACATACAATAATAATTATCTAACAATCGTAGCAAGAATCAGAAATGGGGGCTGTTTTCCTAAGCCTTATTGCTAGCCAGTCTACATGCAAGGGACTAAAAGATACCGTAATGAAGAAATGTTTGTTATCCGATAGTATTTTATATTCAAACAAAATAAGCACAATCAAATTTTATTTACTTTGAATGCCTGAGAATAAAAATTGAGTAACTAAGAATATTTTTATGGAATATAAAATATAGATACTATGACTATATGTATTTCTAATATTTTATTACTATTAATTACTATAAAATAACGTAATATATAACATAATAAAATAATTAAAAGTATTTTTAAGTAGAGTACTATTTTGGTTATGTGAACTAAAGGTATAATGATAACCATACAATATACATAACTATGATATAAACCAGCCCGTAACTATTGTCACTGAGAGACGTCATGTAGTTACTTAGTCAATGATAAAAGCAGGTTTGGTTAAATGCTGTTGTATAATAAAATTCGGTCAACAACCTTCTTTTATTACGTCAGATCATTTATATTTCCTTTGGGATTATATTCCGTAAAATATTTTAATGCTATTCTAGAATTATACCCACTAACTACTTTTATAATAGTTTTGTTGTTATATGAGCACAAATACTAAGTCTAAATTAGTATCATAAAATAAAATAATATCATCTTTTGTTGATAATGTATGAAGTCAAAAAATATTTGACAAATTTTAAACTTTCTTGTTTCTGTTTGTCTTGTTTCTTTGCATGTGATATTTCGTATATTTTATATAGAATACTTATATAACTATATTTATGTATTATTTAGTCTTCTTGTATCTAGTACACAGATAAGTAAATGTCTTAATCCTAAAAGGATCTTTGTATTAAAAACTATTTTGTTAATCTTTTATTATAATTTATGATATTTATTAATTAGTACAAAATGAATAGGTGTACATGCAATATATGCAACATTTATGTAAAATCCAGCATATTATGTATATGATGTCTATGGTATTCATATGTGTAAGCGATGGTTGCTACTTGCCATCGGGTGGACAGTCAGCTTATCATACCAGTTCGATAAAAAAAAAATCCTTGTATTTACCGTATTCCCATGTGTTAACTTTTTCGATTTTATTTCGGACCTAACGCATTTACATAAAGTTACCGTACTATTCCGTATTGGCGAACGTACTACGTAATTGAGGGGGGAGATGTCAGATAATCCCCCTGGACATCGTGATACATCAATTTGTCGCGTTGGGCTAACTATTATTCATGCTCATCCTATCATAAAGCGTAAACCGATAGCGCAGGCGGGTGCTCCAATATTATATTAGTAATTGAAAATTACAACTCACTAATTATAATAAAAAAGCAATATTATTTAGTACTAATTTAATAAAACATTTATTCATAAATACGTAATTATAGTTACAGGTAATAAATACAAACGTTTGTATTGTTTAAAGATACAATTCGAGATCGTTTTAGAAATAGTAGTATTCTGAAACATGAGATAATTTGTTTTTAATTACTCTATTACAAAAATATTATTTATAACAATTCTATAATTAATTTACATAACATTTTAATACTTATTCTATTTTTTTTAGTAATTGAAATTGTAGTAATTGTGATTACTAGTAGGTACTCCAATACATTTTTATATGTATTAAATGAAGGAATTGTGTTTTATGTCTGAAAATGGTGATAAGCAATAGTAATTGGGATTTGTGCTTATCATTAATATTTTACATGGAAATTAAAGAATAAACTTCTACTTGTTTATTACTGTTGTAATATTTTTATACCTAGGTACTCATTTTAGTTAATCAGATGGGAGACTGTAATTACATCTTGAGTGTTATATCTTATCAAAGAGCGTCAAAATACTCTTTCCACAAACAATATTTTTAATTACGTTCAGTATAACAATATAAGTTTGCCATGAAACAACAATCACATATGCGGCTTTGTTTGCGACGTTCATAGTAATGGTAACTAGTGGCATTATTACTTAGGTCATTACTTCAGAACAAAATGTTGGTTGTCACTAGACGTAAGAGAGTTGAGTGGGAGCTCCACCATATTTTGAGAGAGCCACTATATATTATTAATATATGATAATAGAATGATGCATTTGCCTAAGTTTTTACTAGCGGGGCACCCTAGATCCCTTCCCTCCCTTTCTGTCATCTCTTCGTGATGAAATCGGCAAGAACTTATCAAGAGGGTTTCCAGGAGCCGCATGAAGTCAAGTCAACATAACATGGTACATTGTTAGCAATTAGATCATAAGTACATTATTACTAATCAACCCGCTTTCCTACCAGCGCCACTATAGAAAACTAAATTATACTAGAGAATAGATATTCTGAGGTGACACTCGGTGCTGAATGTTCGAAAGGTTTACAAGCAACCGCTATCCAGTAACAACTGCTAACTAAACTTAATATTAGCATAGTACCATGTCGAGTCGATTGGTTCTTTGGTGAATTCATCATGTGGCCTAACAACCTGATTATATCCTCTCATCCTATAAATGTCTACCGGTGCTCCTCTAATCTATTTAGCGTGGGCGGATGCTTCATACCATTTTTGTCCACTAAAATTATTAGATATATTAATATATATATATATATATATATATAATTATTAATTAATTTGTTCTCTAAGTCGACTCCTACGACACCCTCAGGATGAAAAGCGTGACGACAAATAAAATAACTATTAAAAAATATATAAAAACATTTAAAGGCACTCAATTTTTATTTAAACAATAATATTAATAATAAACTTGAAAAAACATATATACTACGTTAAAATAAATGTAAAGTAGTCCAATATTATTAACATATAACGCAATATTTGTTAGTAACAACGCATTTTATACAAATATTGTCTATCGTGTCGTATTTTGGGGGATTAGAGTAATTTTCAGGTTAGGTGTGGTATAAAGTATTAGTTCATCAACAACATTAAGGTACGGCTTAATACTTGAATATGTTTCTTTTTTGTGACGGTTTATGCTGGCAGGGCACCAGTGAAGGATGATAGGATGAGCATGTAGTCAGGTAGGTTGACCCATCGTGACATTCAACAGGAGTTTCCAGGGGAACCGTGTGGAAGTCAGACTGACTAGTAATTGACTGACTGACATTACTAATTATGGAGTAATAAGTTCACATTACAATTAACAATTTTAACAATCCTTTTCTCCCTTTCCTAGGAGGTTATCACAATTTATCACATATCATACCACAGACATACATTCATACATAATAATGCTTATCTCTGGTACAAAAATGTACATACAAAAATTACGTCTTCAAATCAAATAAAATTCATAGCATTTACTATTTTCCAGTGAGTTCACTGCTTATATTAAAATAATTAAGTATAAGATTACTACAAACTTCATTACTTTACAAGGAAACTCAGATCGATTGTTGCCGTATATACAAGAGGCAATTACCCTGGAGAGCGGGTAAGATATCAATACTCGAACTCTTACTTTCAAAGAACTATAAATCGTGTAGTGAATTGTTATTGAAACTCATTCATAAAACAAATAAACCCAAGGATATTAGGTAGTTGAAACAGCAAGCCGGCTGTACCCACCAATTAAAAGTCTCGGTGACAATCAGACATATGTACAAATAATTAATAAGTATAGTGGGGATTTGACTTGTTTACTATACTGTTGAATATCGCGATAAAACAAACTACTTCTAAATAAAAGTGACTGCTCGCCTAATGTTAATTAGAATACAAATTTCGGTCATTTTTAACTATTGTACATGAACAGCGCACGCATTCGTTACATATATGGATATAAAATAACAATTTGCTGATGAGTAACACAAGGTGCTCAGATAAATGAGTTATTTATTTAAAAGTGTTGTCGTCGACGGTGAGACCTCTGTTATCGTAACAACAGAGAGGCTCGTACACATGCTGCGCCGGCGCACGTTCATATCGCGTCACATTTTATAAACCGATTTTACAGCCCAGGTTTTTGGAAACGAGCGTCTAAATGTCGATAATACTTATAGTCAGTGGCCGGTGAATGTTGAAATAACTAGTGCTATACCGCCGTCGTTTAAAAACAGTGCGTTACAAATACTACATTTACTCTTCAACATTATGGCAAGTACGGAGAATATTTATAGTGTCAGTGATCTAACTAATTCGAAGTCACTGCTCACAAATAACATCGAGAAGTCATCATGGTTAGAAAAATCAAAGAGCGTCCTGAAGAAAGTGAAGATTTTTTTCCGGGAGACAACTGTGGAGCCGTGTTTGTTTATGTACATGTTTTGCACATCTCTATCCTCTATGGCTGTACAAAACATGCATTTGGACAAATCATGTAGAGTCAATTTTAATTTTAGTGACAATATATGCGACAGAATTAGAGATTTAAACACTACCAACTTGGAAAATGAACTAGTGCAAGTGCAGACTTTGGTAGCAAAAGTGACAGCCTGGAAATTCCCCCTGCAGACTGCAATACCAGCCGTCCTGGTATTATTTGTCGGAGCTTGGAGTGATAAATATAAAAAGAGAAAAATTTGTATACTCTTTCCATTCACTGGGGAAATAATAGTAAATATAGGTCTTATATTTGCTACTTATTACTTCAGGGAGCTATCATTAACTGCCACTGCTCTTATAGAAGCCTTGCCCGCCGCGCTCAGTGGAAGCTACATAATCATATTCATGGGAATGTACAGTTTTATGGCGGACAGAACAACTATAGAAAACAGGACATTTCGTTTAGGTGTAGTGACTATATTCGTAAGTTTTGGTACTCCAGTGGGGACAGCTCTGAGCGGAATTCTGTTACGTGCTTTGGGTTATTATGGGATATTTTCTTTGTTAATATTTCTACATATTTCTTCATTTATATACGGACTATTTCGTCTCGAAGATGTGATAGTGGATAAAGAGATATCATCAGTAAATGAGACACACCAAAATAGATTTCAGGCAATCTTACGTGACGTGTTGAAGATGGTCTGCAATACAGTTCTGGTAGCATTGAGGCCTAGGGCATTTAATGGGAGAACTCAAATATTTCTGGTCATAATTCTCTACTTGCTAATGGTGGGACCCCTTTATGGTAAGTTATACAAATTTAACTAAGTTTTATAGATTTAAATTCTCATGGTTAGTCTAGATTAAATTGTAAAAGTTGGGATAAAGTGTCACGCCTGAAGCCTTTTGGATTTTATCCAAATCCGTATAGCTGCAGTTCTTAATGGATGGTTTTAAAAATATTGTACCTAATGGTGCAGTAACAATAAAAACTATGCCTTAACATTATCTAAAAATATTAGATAATAAAAAAATGGTCTTGGTGATATTACTATAGTACCAATAGTATGAAAGTAATCCTAAAACTTACAAAAAAATGTTCATCAAAATCTTTTTTTCAAAAATTATACTACTACTACTATACTAATACACTTACAGATACTATTTAAAAGTAGTTTATCATTGCGTAAATTATTACTTTAATATTTCGAACGAAGTAGGTATATCCTATGCGTGTTATTTTGCAAGTGTCCAATACCTACAATATTTTGAAGAGTGACTTAAGACAATTATGTAATAAAAATATGGACAGCAGATTACGATCGAAAAAGTTTTTTAAATACAAGTGGGTACGCTTTCCCTTCTGAGGTATTCAATGATAATGTTTTACATTAATGTTACATTATAACATTTTTTCTTCGAATTTCAAAATTAATTAAAAATATTGACATAAATAAATAACATCTAATGATCATTACTTTTATTACAATATAAATGGAAACTTGAAATAAATATATCGTCCCTCAAAAATAAAACACAATGACACAATGGCGGTAATTTATTTATCACATTAGAGCGACATCAGATAGGGTCTTTTATGGTAAGGTAATTTTATTTTATTTGTAATTCGGTCCTAATTTTTAAAACCAATTTCATGTGTAAAAACAGAGTATTAATACAACTGAATAATTAATTCGCATACCTAAATTGATAAAAAATATATGTCATGTTACTTGATAACTACGCAACTCGTTGCATCAGGTGACTTGCACAAGCCTCTGGCTCGATTAAGAGGTGTACACACCGGCGTCAAATGCGGTGCATTAATGCATATAGCAAATAAACTAATATATTTATATGCTTAAGTATTTCTTAAAACATTTACACAACATATTGAGTATTTTCAAGGTTTTAATAAATCAGTATATTTATTAGTAAAATGAATGTTATTTAATGTTTAAACACATTAAATAACATTCAGAAATAATACGAGAAAAATTGTACACATTAAAATGAAGTGGTTCATATGTAATATATAATTAGTTAAATTTATCCTTAATTACCAAGTGTTCTTGTATGCTATATGTCATAAAACAATCCAATCAAATCAGAACGGTATACTAAAAATAAAAATATTTAGCCAAAATGCCACATAAATACATAGCATAATTGTAATCAGAGCTAAGAAGATATTTACATTTATATACAATATTTTATCATGGAACATCGCTATAGGTATAGTATTTAACTATTATTTATTCCATTAAATCACTAGGCTGAAATATTGAAACAAAGCCGAGCAACTTCCAGCTTATTAGTGAAGTCATAAAAACAAATATTGCATAACCATTTTAAATGCGAACAGAGTACATAGAATTATATATAACGAAGTGTACTGTGACATAATATATATCACTACGAAGTTATATGTCTTCGCGTCCTACTAAATCTGACGACATTTCACTGTAAACCAGACAGAAGGAAGTCATTTGATGAACAATAGACTCCGCTCAGATTGATGTCAGATAGACGTACCCACGTACATTGAGAAACGATTCTCTCTGTTTTTGAAACATGATTAGACGATTTCAGACAAAACTTACATTTTTAACAGTATTTTATGTATATTAATTAAAAATCTGATCCCACTAATTTATAATATTGACTGTTCTTTTTTCTAAGTATTTTTCATCTTAAAAGTATGTCTATCGGTTTAATTACGTTACTTAACTATATTTAGCATCGCTGGACATAAAATTAATGTTTCCTTACTTTTATTATGTGGGCTAATGTTTTACACACAAGTTAAATTCAATTTTGTGAACCAGGTTAGTGAAACATTCCCTATTATATCCATATCTTAAATATGGATAATATTTATGATTATAATACAATATTATTACTATGCAAATTTACATAAAACTTTTCTTTATACACTTCAGTAATGACAAATACAGAAATAAAACACACTTTTTTAAAAGATAGTATAAAAAGTGTGCAGACAAGTCTTAAGGAATGTTACATCTTTTATAATATTATATGTGACTGTGACTTACATATTAATTACATATTTAGTCAAAAATTATAAAATTATATAATATTTATTTTACTACCTAATATCTAAAGCGTTAGCAGTGACTTAATATTCTGTGAAATAACTATTGTTATTACTATTTTATTTATTTCATTAAATTTAGCTATAAAACATTACTGTCATATATGAAATTATTATATTATTCGCAAAGGAACTACAAATACAAACAGTTATTACTTTACAAATAGTGGAGAGTTGTTGCAATTCAAATCCTAATGACAATGCATTAAGGCTCCATTGTACAAATAGGTTTAGATTCTGAGTGATAGTTCATACAAGGTAAACAACCAAATGAGTTGCAAGCCTTGGTTTCTTTACTCCCGGTTTACTAATTGCATTCGAATTGCATAGTTACTTATTATTCTTGACGATTTCAATGAGGCTTATCAACAACGACCGATTTATATGCAGTTTTATTTCAAACGTCATTTTAGTAATTTCAATTTTAAGTTAATTTTCTATTGAATGAGATTCTTTTCACTTGTAACTACTTCAGTGAGGTGATAATGACGTAAGTACCGCACTTTTGATGAATTCCAATTAAGATTAAGATATACTTAATCAAAATTTTATAAAATGGGTTTTAAAAATAATTAAACGTTAATGTAAAACTATGCAAATTAATTGTGGTATTTTTAATGATAATTCGGTATATATCAAATCGATATATCATATATTTCTTAGGCGTCGTAATAATACTGAATATTATATAATAGTTACTAATACATTAGGTCCGTATAACAGGTGATGTTCGAATAATATTTTTTCTAATATATTTATGTGAATGTATAAAAAATACGTTTAAGTGTGATTTATAGGAATCATCAAGATAATCTTGGACACAACTTGAATAGAAGGGTCCACTGTATATAATCACGTAGAACCTAATGATCTTTATAAATCAAATGCTCGAATGAGTTGATTAAACGACACCCAACCGAGCCTTTATTCTTTAAATACATCTTAAGTATTCGCACAAGAAATCCTTAGCTAATCAAAACAAGCTGTAAAGTTAATACTTTATCATCAGAGGGATTTTCTTAAATAATTCTGAGAAAATCATTTTTACGAGAAAACTAAAATTAGTCTCTATGCAAGTACATCCGCGTGAAATAAGTGAATATATAAATTGCTTTGAACACAATACAGAACAGATCTGAATAAAATGTAATATCAAGACAGATTATATCACCAGGGCAATAAGTAACCATAAGGTATTTCTATCTAAAAAAATCTGACGATTTCGCGTGTAACAGTGGTATTAATAATACTAACATTATTTCTTCATTATTTTACAAATCAATAAGTATATAATTTGGCCATAAACTGTAGCATTTGGGATTATGAAAAACCTCCTGGGTAAAAGCTAGTATGTCTATAAAAAACTGAGCATATTTAAATAAACATTATTGTTTATCTCAAGCAAAGATCGCCATTATTTTGTTTAATCGTATAAGTAGGTATACTTTTCTTATCGTCATACGTCATTTATATTCAAAAATATCTTCATTAAAATAAAACTATTGGTTGTATATGTAGATGTTTTTAAATGATGAATTCACTAATACCATATATGTATGTATAGCTATATATGCGATAACGAAACTGCAAATTGCGGTAGGTCATTTCACACAATCAATCTTTATCTCATTTGCTTTAATAAAACCATAAACACATGTCTTATTTAAAGATGCCACTCGATTGATTTTTATATCTCAGTAATATAGTAATAAGTTATCAAATTCATTATATCGTCAGCCTCGGTGGTCTAGTGGTTGAGTATATCGCTTTACTATATGATGGTCGCGGGTTCGATTCCTCGCACGGTACAAACATTTGTATTCATGGAGTATGAAGTATGATTGTTTGTATAGGTCTGGGTATTTTCTATGTATAATATGTATTTATTTATTTAAAACATGCATCCATGTATTTATATCAGTTGTCTAGTCCCCATAACACAATCAATGCTTAGTTTAGTTAGATGGCGTTGTGTGAATTGTCAAAAAAATCTTCATCGTAGCTAGAAAAAAATACAATAAACGCAAAATATGTTCCTCTGTCTCTGTCTCGTAAGAAGATAGAATATATAGAATTTGTTTAAATTACACCCAGAATTATTTGGGTACAATTTTGTTGCCTATTATTTTGCTTCCCCGTTGCCGTTACCTATATCCATAAATACCACAACGGACATCACGTTATCATGTGATACCTGTAATAGTACTTATGCGTTATCACTCTAGAGTACTAATATATAATGCCTCGTATCCTGTAACTTCTAGTCATGCCCAAGAAACGAAAAACAATTGTGGAAAAAGGTAAAATTGATGATTCCACGCGGCTATTTACAAATTGTTCCGTATTCCGAACTTCCTTAGTCTAAGCAGGTTTTATCACCGGCTTGCTTATTGGAGCAAAGGGCGCTTGGAGGTACTGGCCACTAATAAAAACATGTGATCACTTGAATTTCGAATATAGAATAAAAAGCAATTGAAAATAAGAACTGGAATAAAAAGGACTCTCCGTATTTTTAACTATATAAAACACAAAAAATATTAATTTAAATATTACAATACAATTGTTTTTATGAAAATATTTTCATCATATCTAGAGTATATATATACTCTAGAATGCGTGGCCACTAAACTGGACACATCGGAACACATCGGGACGTTCCTAAGTAGAGAGAGCAAAGTAAGTAAATTTGG